CCCCCTTTTTTTTTTATCTTTTTTTCGAAATCGTCATTTGATCGCGGGGGGAAGAAGAAGAAGAAGAGTGTCTGATTATTTCGTCTAGTAACTGGAATTCCTACGAGTCGACCTTTTTGGTGGTTTTTTTTGGTGGTTTTCAGGGGGGAAGTGGGGGCGAACTTTTTGCTTTGTTTTCCACTACTACTTATCTGCCAACGACAAAGCTACTTACGCGTACTACTACTACTACTACGTACGGCGTGATCACGGGATTTTTGAACAAACGGCAGGCAATATATTATTCCCCATCACCACAACTTTCACTCCGTTACTGGGTCGCGGTATATTGGCTCTCGCCTCTCGCCCTCCGCCTTTTAGGGAAAAGAAAAGAAAAGAAAGAGATCAGGAGAAGGATTAAGCAAATATGAACTACGCGCCTATGAACGAACCTACCACGGACCTCGAAGAGGCGAGCGGGCCCGTTGGATCAAGCCGCCAGGAAGATTGCTGTTCGCGCTGCATACGGAACTGTGATTGTACGCTTGCGGGGCCCTGGTGTATCGAGGCGTGGGCGGCGTGCTTTTCCATCATTGGGCGGTGTTGCAGCGAGGCGCTGGGGTGTTGTAGCGAGTGTGCTGATTGCTGTGATTGCTGTAGGTGAGAGATGTGGGGGGGGGGGGGGAAGGAAAGAAGGAGAGGTTTGTGGGTTTAAGGATTTTGGGGGTGGGAAAGGGATGGGGTTGTGATGCCATTGGGGAAGGAAGGGCTGGAGTGCGAAACTCGGTGGTGCAGGTTTTGCTGCTGGTGCTGAGGATTGATATATGGTCGCTCCTACGGCCTGAGGGACGATGTGCAGTGGCATCTCAAGTGGCGCGGTGTATGTTACAGAGCGACTGATGTGCGCATCCATCCTTCAGTTGAATCTCTCTCTCTTCTCCGGCACACGTGCCGTGGCGCCTTGCAAAGTCGAAACTAGAGCGGTGCGAATCACGCTCAACCACAACGACCGTACTCGACAGGGAGATATTCGGAATCGGGCCAAAAAAAACATCAAACTTCCATAGATATCCCACGCCCATACCTCGACAACGAACACCTTCTATGCAATCCACCATGCACAAAACTCACATCACGTAAACCAATCAATTGAACCACAAGCAACGAAATCTGCGTCCAACAAAATCCACTCCAAATTCAAATTCATGACGAATAGCGTCCTAGCTAGCGAGCGTATATACATCCAAAACGTAATGATTACAAAGTATATTAACAAAGAAGAAGAACTTCCCCATCAAACAAATGCTGATCAACTCCATACATGGATGCATATGTGAGATGGCGAGTAAGAATAGCAAAAAACAAAAACAAAACGAGGGTATATGGAAAGCCAAGGGTATCTCGTGGTATAGGCTTCGATCTTGAACGAAATAGTGAAAGCGAATGCAAGTGTGTAGACTCGAAAAGAGGCTACAACGCTAGAAAAAAGGAAAAAAGAAAGGGCAAAAAAAAAACTCCGAAGATGTGAAAAGAGGAAAAACGTATCAATATGCGCTGTTATCCATGCAAATATCATGGAATATGATCTCACGCCTGTCGGCTAAGCAGCAGCTCTACCGCGCAGTCAACTCTGAGCCCAGACCCGAGATCCGTCACGCGCAGCGCATCTCTGGCCTGTTCGGGGGTAAATCCCATTTCTACAATGCGGTAAATGGCTTTTTCGGCGGTGTTCTCGTGGCTGGGGCTCGAAAAGATGGAATGCTGGCGTTCGTGCTGCTGAAAGATTGCGCTTCGTGGGCTGGCGGATGAGCTGATGTCGCTGTCGCGGCTCTCTTTGCGTTGGTGGAAAACAAGATGGTTGGGTCGGGCTTGCACTGGGGATAGAGGGTGGTGGGAGGGTGCGTGTTCGAGGATGGAGGGCATCGAGATGCCTGTGCCGCCGGCTTGCCAGTTGTGTGTGTTGGATGCTGTTGTGGTTGAGGGGGTTGGGAGGAGAGGTTCGGCGATCATGCGGCGGATTGGTGAGCCGATGCTAGAGATGGCATCCAAGGTGTATAGGTCGCGGTTGCTCTGGAAGGTGGATATTGATGGGGACGGGAGAAGAGGCCTTGCTGCTGTTATCCATTGAGGCGACACTATATTTTCTTCAGGGGATGGCAGGCCTGAGACCATGCTCTGTTGATCGAGACCAGGTATCGTCGAGGGAGCTGGGGTCGGCAGAAGCGGTCGAGCGACTATCCTTTGAGTTGGCGAAGGGGTTCTTGTTGCTGGAAGTTCCGATATGGAGTAACATTCATTGGGGATCGCTACTGATGATTTGAGGCCAGGCACATGAGTGACAATGTCGCCCATTGGGCCTTGTTTGGGAATCGGAGGACGAGTCAAGTTCCTGAGGACTGTATCCCAGTCCGACATGGGTCGTTCTTGCGACATGGAAATCATTGGGCCAGCTTCGCCGCTTATCTTGCGCTGATGGAGTTCATTGATATGCTTTTGGATGCGCATTTTGGATTGCTCGCGCTGGACGTCGCGGGTAGAGATCTTTGCGTAGGTGTTTGCTATCTTGTCTTCGTAGATGCGAGAAGCAGCTTCCCGGAGAAACTTGCGACGAGTATTTCCAGGAGTCGGAGGCTTCCAGTTGACCCAGCCGTTCTCGGCAGCAATGGTGAAGCCTGTGGGGTCGGAGGGGTGGTAGGGTCCAGTTAGCTTCAGGACAGCGGCTGGACCAAAGGTCATAAGGTAGTAACACCATTCATCTGGACGAATTAGCTATTGAGCAGGTCTGAGAACATGGTAACATACCGAGCATCATCTCTTCGCCATCGATATCTCCGCCTCGAATTTCCGTATCGTCGTATATTCCTGCCTGACGTGCTTGGACTGTTCGGCCCTCGAAGCTTTGCAAGAGCACTGCTAAGCAGTTCCATAGCTCCATAATGTCAAAGAGCTGCTCGGCACTGAGCCCGCCTTCGTTACCCTTGCCAAAACTCTCAGAAGCGCCGACCAGCGTATCGTTCATGAAGTCGGTGCCCGAAATGCTGAAAGTGCAAGTTTCCTGATGGGCTATTGCCCCTCCATTCAGCCAGTCCATTTGCGCAACAATGTCATCCTCGCGACCTTTGCCCGAGCCGAAGATTGTGCAAAATGTCCATATGCGCCATAACGCATCATCTACCCTAGCTGATTCCGATGGATTCGCGCTCATGAGCGCAATCGATATCTCTGGTCGCACAAACGACTGGCACTTTTCCAAAATTTCCAGCTTAATGGCGCGAATTACTTGAATGTCTTGTTTCTGGAGCTGTAGGTACGACGTAGGAGAGTATTCCTCTTCGGGCCGCGTCATCTCGAGATCGTGTGCGTGCAAACTGTCGTGGCCGGGGAATGCAATTTCCCGAAACTCCCATGCAGGAGGAGACATGGCTCGAAGGGTCGACTTGATGAGATCAAGTTCATGGCGCTTGAAAACTCGGTAGAAACCATGGTTGACAAGAGCAGCAGCGAAAAGATCGTCAAAGTGACCTAGGTTCTGCAAGATGTTCAGGATGAGGGATTCTGCTCCAGCGGGAGAGATGATCGGATCGGTAGTATTTCTTTCAGCCGCGTTGGCATCGTTCCGTGGGTTTGGGACCTGGGACAACACCATGTCTGCGCTTGTCCTTCTGTACTTTGGGATTATGAGTGTTAGCGTCTTGCTCGCCTTGGAGCGCCCTCTTCGGACTTGCGAAGCAATGTGGTTGTGTGGAAGACGAGATAATTTCATGTTCCTGTTCGCTGGCTGGCGTTTGCTGGATTTGCGAGGCAAAGGAGGCGGACCACTGAGATGTTCGCTCGGTGCCAATTCTGTGAGAGACATGTGTAAATTGTCGTCTTCAGTTGAAGGTGGAAGTGCACTCCACTGCGAAAGATTGACCTCTGCAAGGGGGGTCCTATCTTGATCAAATTCCGCCCCAAGGTCGCCAATGCTCTCGAACGAAGCCAATTGCTGATGCAGGTCGCATTCGGCCTCGCTAAGAGTGGGGCTACAAGGCCCTCGCTCGATGACCGACGAATGCCTGGTCTCGCTGTGATGAGTGGCTTGTGTCTGTAAGACGAGACGCGGGCTCGGGGCTGGACGTCGCCGCGGACTATTCCGTTTGGAGGACCTGGGCTCTATTTTTGGTTCGCATGCTTCGGCGCTATGCGGGGTATTACAGGATGCATGAGTGCCATGGGTAGGTCGAAAGACTGCACCCTCTGAGTTGGAGGGCTGATGCATATATCTTCGGGGCGGCTCGGTTGGCGGCGCTTTTCGTTGCCCTCCATTGTTGTTTATCACCGCGTCAGGCTTTCCTTGTTTTGGGGGGTTGTCGGCTTCGAAGCTTGTCTCTGAGGACCGGTAGCTGCGTAATGACGACATTTCGCTCTCTTGGGAATAAATCGAACAACTATAAATTGACGTGTGTACAATTCCAGCTGCACCCTTGGGGTGCCGTGGTTTGGGAGATCCTGCAGGAGAGGTTTGACTAGTCGTTTGTTTTAACTGCTGTGAAGTAAGCGGCGCCTGCGACTGGGCCCAACTGCATTTTTCGCCTGCTAATGGGGGCGAAATAGAATATCTGCTTCTCAGCTCACCAAAGGTGGCTTCGAAGAACGGGAGTGGCGGAAGTGGCTGGTTGCATCTCCCGCTGGGGATTATTGAAGGCATCTTGGATTTCTCCTGTCCGTCTGTGCCTTTAGTATTCTTATTGCTGTCGAGAGTAACAATCTCGCCTCTCCGCTGCCATTGAATCTTGCCGTCTTTGTATGTTCCGATTATCGAGGCCTGGCTATCGAATGATTTCGACTTTTTAGAAGTGCGTTTAGTTCCTGTTGGCTTCGCGGTGTGCTTCTTGCGCCATATGGTTGTGGATTTTGGTGGAGAAGTTGTGCCAGAAGTTATCGACGAAGGCGACTTGATATCATCAGTGAACAGGGACTCTGGTATCGCTAATTCCCGCGCCTCCGGATGTACATCTTTTTCGTTTTCGGGATTTGCTGGGACTGCCCGTAAAGTCGTAGTCGACTTGGAGTTTTTCCCTCTAAGTAACAACAACATCCTCCTTTTAAGTGCGCCTCGGCAGGCGTGGCATTCGCAGATAGATGACACGGGGTAGGATAGTGCGATGGGTTGCAATGCAGAGGGACAGGGGGTGAAACGTTCAGTACTAGTAGAGAAACAGAAATTCTGAAAGAAGTCGCCCTTTCGGAGTGCGGCGGAATATACAGCATGCCCATGGCGGCAGGGCATGGCCTGTATACTATTACTGCCCCAAGTCAAAATAGCAATGACTCTATTCAGGCGCCACTGGACACGTCTGGGGCCGAGCAACGGTAACTATGGTGGGGCTTCGGACAGACCATGCATCGCACGGCGTGGCCAGAGCTGAGGTGAGATGAGCCAGCAACCAACTTTTCTGGGTACACCATCAAGGTCCACGAGCGGATGAGGCGCACACTTGTTTGCATTCGACATGAGGAGCAATCTATTGCATACAGTCGAAATCCTCAATACGAGCAAGTTCACACAACCGGAAGGTCGATCGCTGTCAACTTTTCCTGAATCGCGAAGATTCAGATTCAGATTCATGCAAGACTGGTGTGGTTCGTCGGGTTCCATCATCTGGCACCGGCAAGGACCGCGCTATGTGTCGTGCATGGCAGTGCTGCGCTAAATTGGTGTCCCCAGAGTTGAGATAAGACTACTAGGCTTGGCATCATGCTGCTGCGCCATCCTGATTGTCCTATAAATGTATTCTGCAGACCACATGTAAGCCTTAGAGGGCACATAACATCTGTTTGTTTCACATTCTCAAATCCATCGTCGCTTGCCTCGCATACGAACCCTCTAGTATGGAAACATTACTTGGCTCTGTAGAACGATTTTGCTACGGCCGTGCCAGATATGGAGCCACTTCGGGCCGTCGTAGTATTAGAGCCGAGACGGCATCGTAACTTTCCTGTCAGTGGGTAGAATGATCCAGCGCAGGTTTAGAAATCAACATTGTTAATATGCTCACGTGCAGTGGCTAGACTGCGCGATTTCAAATTACTCACTAGGTGAAATGTCGCTGGGAGAGTGTCCTGTTCGCTATGCTCAATGAGTTGACATTCAGTAGTGAAAATTTGAACGAAAAACAACTTCGCCGATATACTCGGTGGCCTGAACTGCTAAAAACCCGATTTTAGGCCAAGGCCTCGTAGATCCGGTTAAATACATTCCAGAAATTCCCAGTAAACCTGATAAGTAAAAGGCCCCTATCAAGTGTGGAAGTGTACATCTCCACCGTACTCCGGGCGCTTTGGTCCACAAATTCTAGGATGGATATGCACAATTTCCCCTTCATTTCCACACGTGGGATTATCGTCAGACCTTCATTCGCCAGCAGCTTGACCCTTGACAAGAAAATAGGGTACTTGAGCAAACATGGGGAAAACGTTTCTCTACATTGAGCGCTAGCAGTGACGAACAGGGCATAGCACGTTCCGTACTCGGCGTATCTCGATGAAATCTTGCCATATTCTTCGTTGTTGTGGACCCTTCGCGGTTTCCATGACTAAATCGACAAACTAGCACGCTAGAATCGGGGGTGCGCAACTATCCAAGGGAGCCAAGCTTTTCTCAGCACAATGGAACAATGGTCCATTGAAGCGAGATTTTGGATGCCGGCTTGAGATAGTGCTGCCGGTTTCATCAAAGACAAAGCTGTTGTTTTGAAGAATATCAAAGAGTATGCCTTTTGAGTGGTCGTGCCGACTAGACAAGAGCGACGCAATACTGTCAACAACACTGAAATCGGCAGCATTCCAGCAAGCACGTCAGACTGGCATAACTAGCGCAGAAGGATTTAAGATAGTACAGCTAGCTCTACAACATGAAACCCGTATATGTATGTCGTTCCTTGTCTATCCCAAGTATAGATCGACAGATCGGGTAAAGTTCGCGAAGGGTGCTCAGATGTATCGTTCATATCAATGGTGGAAATATTCGAGGATCCTAGAACCTAGTGCGCTAATGTGTTTCTTGGGAGACTTTTACAGTATCGGCCTAGTTCGTTGTCTTGTTTACTGATAGAAGACATTGGTTGCGCATTGACAAATACCAACTGTTGGGAGTGCGGCAGCTCCCGCAGCTCTACACTGAGATGCACTAGAACCATCTGACCAACACACTGAATAGCGAAGAGCATCTTGACCAGTGCGGAGAAGCTATATCCGCCGTTATGTAAGACATCTATGCACTCAACTTTTGTTGTACATACGCAAGACGCGTATTTCACGCCATATGTTGATCTGCAGCTAGCAGGCTTGCAAGTTCAAACTCGGACATATAGTTCTTGACCAGTAGAATGGACTGGCAACAGCTTACGTGTACTCTGCATGGCTAGAAAGGACCGTAGTGGCTTATCCAACACAAGTACACCGCGATATAACCGTAAATGATCTGTGCGTTCTACCTGCAATCCGCCGATGTGGATCGAACGTGGATTCGCCAAGCACAACCTTTACTGTACATGTACATATAGGCTTTGTCACTGCAGCAAAAGAAAACAAATGCAGACATCCCCACAGTTTTTCGGGCTTGAATGATCGGACCGGGCAAGTCGTGTCCACCGTATACCGATGTGTTCCATTTAGGCATAGCGTATCTAGTACTTGCCGTAGTCGCAGCTGCTTACGAACGGACAGTCGTCTTTGTAAACTTTGTTCTTAATTTACTATTGTTACCCATATTACCAGCCGGCGCTGTGGCTACTTGATTTCATCACACAATATGCTACAAATAGATGAGGATCTGTGCAGATTACAATGCGATAAATACGGGTTCTATTTTTGGAGTCTGGATGGCGGCTCAGCATATGAGCTTCGCAATATCGAACAAATAGAGTACTCATTCCGTGACCGAGCCACTGGGTGAGGATACCACTGCGAACGACCTAGCAATGAGCGTTTCATGGGGCTTGATTGTGTACACGCTACAGCATCGAGTCCAGCTTCAACTAACTGTCAAAAATCCGTCTACAACATACTATACCAACAGCAATTTCCACCCCCTTTCTAATCCTGCAAATCCAGCACAACTCTACCCTGAAGTTTGCCCTCCTGCATCTCCTTGAAAACATCTGTCAACTTATCCATCTTCTCAATTCTGAAATGCGTTTTGACGATACCCCTAGCTGCGAACTCCATGGCCTCGATCGCCTCCTTCCTGTTCCCTACTGCTGACCCTACAACCTGCAACGACTTGACGACCAGCAGATTAGGAGTTACACTCTTGATCGGCATCTGCTCTCCCTCTGGAATACCGACGCAGACAACACGGCCACCGAATCGCAGCATATCTGCTGACTGTGCATACGCGGCGTTGTTGCCAGTGCAGACGACGACAGCATGGGCGCCAAGTCCATTGGTCAGCGATTTCACAGTCTCAACAACGTCCTGGTCGTCATCTACGGCAATGAAGTGCTCGGCTCCGCTTTCCATGACGATGCCTTTCTTGCTGCTGTGGTCCACGCCAATGACACGGTGACCTATGCCACGCGCACTGAACTGCACGGCGAGATGGCCCAGCCCGCCCCCGGCACCGGAAATCACGACCCAATTCCCGGACTCTGCATTCGTCTTGCGCAGTGCTGAGTATACGGTCACGCCGGCGCAGAGTAGCGGCGCGGCGGCGTCAGAAGCGAGGGCATCAGGAATGGGTGTGACGTAATTTGCGGGGGCGAGGGCGTACTGCTGAAAGGTTCCTGGGGTGTAGTACCCCGAGACTTTCTGTTTGACGACCAAGTCAGTAAGCAAAAGGATCGCAGCCTATCTAATCCTTTACATCCTCCAGGAACATGCCACGATAAATAAAGTCAAATTAAGGAAACAGATCATAACTTACCCCAGAGAAACAACAAGCATCGAAACCCGCCCTGCACGCCTCACAAGCTTCGCATATACCAGCAACCCACTTGATACCCACTCTTTGTCCCAGTTTAACACTAGCATTGTCCGTTCCGGGTCCCATCTGCACAATCGTTCCCACGCCCTCGTGTCCACCAACTTGCCCCGCTTGCGTGCTAAACGGCAGTGACTTCCACGAGTTCGTCATGACGCCGAGATCAGAGTGACACACGCCCGAGTGGGTCAGCTTGATGAGGACTTCGCCCTGCCCAGGCGAAGGCATGTCGAGCGTGGTTACCGCCGTGGAGATTGTGCCTGGTTTATCATAGATGACGGCTTTGTATTTGGAGGGGAGTGAGGGGGTCGTCATTTTGAGTTGTGGTGATGATTTTTTGTCTCGCTTGTGTTGATGCTTATTTACTATCACGAGGGAAAAATGTATTTAAGAAGTGAGCCTTGAAGTTGACAGTTATTTTGAGTACTTGAAAAAAAGAAAGGAAAACGTTGAGCGTCCTTGATCGAGCAAAGCGTCCAGAATCTAAGCAGAAAAGCTGAATTGGAAAAAGAAACTTCGTCCCAATTCAATACCCTCTCTTTTATAGATGTCCTATCGTCAGAGTTACCGGTCTCCCCTCTCTTCCCCGCACTACATCATACATACTCACCGAAATTCGCTCAGTCCGTACTACTCCGCCTACATGCTGTATATGCTTACACATCACTCGCTCCTCCCAACAACCTCAAGCCCAGACAGTAACCAAAACAATACTTCCCATCTCAATTTTACACAACACTCCCAACACATCTTCAAATCCCAGAAATCGGAGAAAAAAAGAGTTCGAGCCAGCCAAACTCCTCTCAAAAAGCAACACGAACACTAAAAGCCGAGGTAGAACCCCACCACATCCACTCCCCTTCCCCACCATCTAACCTACTAGTTAGTAACCTCCCCCCAAGGGTCCCACCGCATTCTCATTCTACTACTACCCTTTAGCAACTAGCCCTCAGCCCAGTAGCTCTCATCCGCCCTTATCCACCTTATGCCTTTACCCCGCACCCCCCCACCCAACCTCCGCTAGTACACGAGCCCCCAAAACCGAACAGGCGCCATGCGCACACTGTGCACTTAAACAGTAGTAGTACGCTGACACTAGCGCAAGAGTAGGGCAGGTACGCATACGCATACGCATACGAGGCTCAGGCGTTCGGACATGCGAACTAAGCGCGAAGCGGGGGGGGGGAAACCTTTAAGCTAATAGTAGTGGATTTTCTGTTGCAAATTGGAAAGAAAGAAAAAGGTGCAATACTAGATGTTGACCGGGGAGGTACGTCATGGGTGTGCGTAGATAGGTACGTATACGGGTGGGTATGTGAAACATACTATCGGGAGCATGTGTGCCTAGACGTTAAGGGGTGGGCGGGTGTGTGTGTGTGTGTGTGTGTGTGTGCGGGATACAGCGTGCTGTGTTTGTGCCTTGCTGATATGCATATCTTGATTTGAGTAATGAGTGTCGAGGGTGCCTAGGGTGGGGCGTCTCACGATTTAAGCTTACTTTGTTAGTGGTAAAGGAGATGGAGGTTGCGGGAAGTGAGGGAGGTTGAAAGGAAAAAGTGGAGGCATGACGTAGGGTATTCCAAATGGTGAATAGGAAGATGCGACAGACTAGTCGCGAATCTAATCTGCCTGGCTTTTTTTGCCCTACTACACGCACCAAGATAAGAGAGAGACAAGGTTTGACTACAAAACAGGTCGAGTGTATGACCTAGTAGAACATTTGATATGTATCAACACACATGCACGCGTAGAGAGATAAAGTCCAGATATCAAACATCCTACAGACAGTCTTTTGTTTGGAAAACCAAAACTCACTGACACTGTCCCAATGATTCCATTAAAAGCTAAGCTAGCCAGCACATAGAATATGCCCAATTGGATCAAACTCCTTCTTTCCATGTATTAAAGGAAGAATAAGCATCTTTTGAAAGTGGTATAGTACAGAATCATCTCGCGCATAGAAGCGTTATAGGGCGTTAGAAAGTAAAAGATGTAAGGCTGGAAATGGGTAAAAATAAACGAAAGAAAGACTGCCAAACACCTTGCACCATGGAAAAAAGATGATGCAACTTTTTTCTTCCCGTGCTAGAAATGAGTGTTTGCGCCGTGTTTGAAAACTTTACGCCCCTTGGTTGGTAATGAAGGAGCTTGCAAGAAGATCGTCTGCACTGGGACGCTTCTCGTGGTCGATGAGGAAAGTGTCGGCTAGGAACCTCCTAGCGTCCTCGCCGGCGTTATCAGGAATGGTTGGGCTGGCATCGCCGCTTCCACCAATCTTGAAAATGGCTTGTAGCTGCGTGCAGTTGGGATGGGGATGGCTTCCAGTAAACATCTCAACAACCAAGCAGCCAAGTGACCAAATGTCGGCTTTGCGGGTGTAAGCTGTCTGTCGAACAACCTCAGGGGCCATCCAGAAGACGGAGCCTTGAAGCGAAACGCGCTGAGCTCCCTTCTTTCCGCCGCCCAATGTAGAGGCCTCGATACGCTTAGAAATACCGAAATCCGAAATCTTGACAGAGCCCTTGTTGTCAACAAGAATATTGGCACCCTTGATATCTCGGTGAATAATATCCCGTGAGTGAAGGTAAGAAAGACCAGTAAGAATCTGGCGGACAAAGTTTTGGATAAGAGACTCGCCCAGAGGACCGTAGTTGACTAGCATAGTCGCTACAGAGCCACCGGGGACGTATTCGAGGAAAATGTTGAGATGGCTGTCGTCTGAGTTGGAACCCAGGTATTGCACAATGTTCTTGTGCTTGAGTTCGCGAAGAAGGCCAATCTCGTGTTTCAGAGCTTCGACCATGTTCGTCTTCTTGTGGTCCATCTGAGAAGCGCCAGCTACAGATGGAAGCTCAACCTGCTTAACAGCCATGAGCTCACCGGTAACGGCGTGCAGTGCAAGGTACACACTGCCAAAGGAACCTTGTCCGATGAGAGCACCCTTCATGTACTTGACGTTATCCCAAGAGTCTTGCTCCAGGTACTCTGCCAGCTCGTCGTCGGACTCTTCGCCGTCTTCAGCTAGGGCTTCCGACAGGCGTTTGTTGAGCGAGTCGCCATTTTCTGTGTTGCTACTGCTGCTGCCGGCAAGGCTGCTGCCGGCATCGTCAAAGTAAGATTGAAGGGTTGTGTTGCCATCGGGGTCGGTAATGGCTAAGCTGTCTCCGACACTGTCGCCGCCAAACGATACATAAGACTTGCGATTTGGTTCCAGAGGCGACTCTTCGTCGAGCGGCTCGAGGACGGAAGACGCCAAGGAGTCTCGGTATCCACTTTGATGAGGCAATCCCAGGCGCATGACGGATAAGGGTCGAAGGGGGCGGGCCTGTGCGCCTCCTTGGAGCCAGCTGTCGGCGATGGACGGCAGTGGTGGAGCGTCTTTCAAGCTAGAAGCAACGCTAAAATTAGACGCCATCGATAGTCGGGATGCCGCCCGACTGAGGCGATGTGATCGGCGTATCGACATCCGAACGGTCTTGTCGATCTCGTCTTTACCGACATCCGGAAAGTAGGAAGTAAGGTCGGAAGTAATGAGCTCGCTGGGTGGGCGAGCACCATAGAATTGCTTGAGCTTGCGTGCACGTGCTTGGAAGTAAGGTGACCGCGAGGCCTCGGCAGGCCCTTCGAGGTTCTGAGCTGTCGAGTTGATATGGCGTTCTCGTTCTCTGGCTGAAGTCGGTGATAGAGGGTAGCTGACGGCGGCAAGAGATTCTCCTGTCAGCTTTTCAATCTTGTTTTGACTGCGGTTGCTGGCGGGTACATAGACGCCGTGTGGTTGTTGGTAGTTTTGTTGTTGGTAGATGCCAGCAGCAGCCTTGAGTTGATCCTCATCAGGCTCACCCGCGTGGACTTTGCGGAGAATTAACCGGCCGCGTTCATGTCGGTTGGCGTCTTTGACTAGTCTAAAAAGCTCAATGTCACTCAAGCGCTCCGATAGTGACGGGTCGGGATCGGAGCTGTTGAGAATGTAGAAGCAGTAATTCTTGACGTGTGCAGTGTTGAGATGTCCTTTTGTTAGTGTCTTGAGCATGACCTCGTCGGCAGTTTTGCAGCCTTCGATGTTGACGACTGAAGTGCGTCCACCATCGTAGATGACACGCACGAGAGCCTTGTCGTGGGGCAGGATGGCGCTGTTGGTAGCGCTGTCCATGCTAGGGCTTGCTCGGACATGGTGGGCGAAGCGAGCCGTTTGGGGCGTCTCTGTGGGTGTACTCCTTTGGTTTCGGACGAGCGGGGGAGCAATGTTAACAGAGCTGCTTGAAGCACTGAGGGGATGGGCACCGTATGTCTTGTTGCCTCCTTCCTTGGGGCTGTTCAGACCTCCTTGGCGTTGTGAGCGTAGGTTACGCGTCTCTTGGTCCACAAGCGGAGAACCGGGACGGGAGGGTGACTTTGAGCCGTATGCGTAGCTGCTGAGGTCCGAGTTTGTGATTTGCCTTGACATGCGCTTCTCCGTCCGTGAACTTATAGGGTTGGACAAAGGAGGGTTTGACCGTGCCGAGTGCATAGGACGCGGAGAGCCGGATGAAGGAGGTGTGTATGCGGCGTTGTCCAGGGTAGCGAGCGATTGCCTGTTTGAGGTACGTCGAGAAGCCTTCTTGTACTCCTTGTTGCGCAGCTGCTTTGCTTGTGAGCCGATGCGGACGCGGTCGCCAACTTTCTTGATGCCCATGTCCTTGAGATGGGTCTGGTCCATCTCCATCAGGTTCTCGCCATTGATGTGGTTGACTGCGGGGAGGCGTCAGCGGTGAAAAGTGGGTTGGGGGGGAGGGAGTGCCGACGTACGCTTGAAAAGCTCGACATACTGGGCACAGTTGATGCGCTTCAGCCAGTCACCAACCTTGTCCTCGTCCCAATGCCTGGACATGTTAGCTGGGGTGGTGGTGGTGGTTGGGGGAGGAGCAGGCAGCTCACTTGATGGCATCGGGAGCATCGTAGATTTCAGAAAACTCAGACTCAGTAGGCGAGGCAAACATGCTTTGGTCGGCGCGGGTGGCGGAGGCATGTGTCCGGTAGGTGTTGAGGCTAGCGTTGTACTGGGCTGAGGACTGAGGAGCACCTCCGCTGACGGAAGGCGCTGGGTACGGGGCCTTTGAGGCGAGCATGGCCATAGCGTGTCGTGGAGGGGGTCGAGAAGCAGTGGTACGTGGGGTGGTAATTAGCAAGTCGGTCGCTCGGCGGTTCGGTCGTGTTGCGCTATCTACTGCTCTGTCTCATATATGCATGGTGGGGACGGTACGCGTGGTAGGATGACGGGTGTGGAGTGTGGTAGGTGGGTGCGGGAACAGGTGGGAGGGTGTGTATATGTAGACGGGTATGGACTGGCGTCGTCTTTGTGCACTCGAGGGGGGGGAAAGGGCGTATCGGGTGTCTTTATTGCGGCGGCGGCGGGCGGGGTGCCAGGATGGCTGGTGCAAGCGTGGATGGGCGAAGGGCTCAAGAAACAAGACACGGGCTCGAAACACTCGACCTGGCAGCCCCGACGGTCTTTGTGGAATGGAGCGGTCGCGCGAGCACGGAGACAGCTTTTGGCACCGGTGCTGGCCAGCGTACGAAGTGAAACGTTAGTGAGACGGGACCGTGCGCCTATCAGCAAATCGGATAGGCCCGAGCTGGCGCTGCTGCAGCCATGGGGCGTGTCCAGCGCATTGCCTCTGGGAGACGTTGCAGGCCAGACGGCAATTGTCGCTGGATATCAGTTTGCCCGGGCGAGACGACGGGCGTGCCGGGTCTGGTGGAGGAGGATGATGATGATGATGATGATGGATGTGGCGGCGGCAGTGGAGGAGGTGATGATGTGAAGACAAAGGTCGGGGGCGGGCAGACAGGCAGACAGACAGGCAGGCAGGCAGGCGCTTGCAGTGGGGAGGAGCCCTGCGTCTGCTACTACACACTACTTACACACTCCGACACAAGCAACACATGATAACCACGACCAGTCGCAGGGCGGAGCCGGTGGCCTGCGGCAGCCAGGCATACTTACTGGCACTGGTCAGGCAGAAAGGCAGACACGGGCAGAAAGGCCGGGAGCCGAGCAGCGAAGAGCGGCGGATACGGTGTGCTCGGGAGAAGTAATTTACCGTGGGCCGTTTAGGAGTTGATTGCAATGCAGGGCTGCGGCTCAGAATAGCAGTGATAGGAGGGCTTCTCCTTTCTGCTCATCTCATCTCATCTCATCTAGGAGTAAGTACACACTCCAGCTTCTGGGGTGTGTGGGTGGGCTGAGTGCCGATCCCGTGACCGCTGCACGTGCCTGCCCTGCCTGCCCTGCCCGCCCTGCACCCGTCCCACACAGTGTCAACTCGTATCCTCGGGCCCGAACCACCATGTACCGCTCACTACTCGACATACTTACTTCTTCCTGACTTGCAGCCGTTGGCCGTGCCGCTGCTGCTGCTGACGGGCGCGTAGCCTATTGCGTCGCTGGCGGGACTTTTGTTTTAATTTGCCTGCTTTGCTGCGAATGTCTGGGCCGTGTTTCTGCCGTATACGGCGTATGCATCTTTGCGACATGTATCTGCCCCATGTCTCTGGTAAACAACAACAAACAGCTCTGCGAAATAACAATCGTCAGTGGTAAATGGCCCATGTTCATGCCGTCCGTCGTCGCTTGTTTGGTCCACCGTCTGCTTTGTTTCTCATAAGTGAGCGGACATGCATGTCATGCCTACCCCCGGGCGCGCAAAGGCCAGCCACTGGCACACGGCCACAGTTGAAACAACGACAGCCAAAACGAGCCCTCCCACGCCGCGTCATTGACGCCCTTCGCGACCACATGCCCGCTGCAAAACCAAACAAACAAAACTGCCAATCGCCGGCTCTCCGTCATCGCCATGCTACTACTGCTGCTGCCGCTGTCTGAAGTCGTGCTCCTTGACTCCTGACAATCCCGGCAATCCTGACAATCTCCTCGTGTTCCCAGCTCGGCTCGACTGGACTGGACTTGACCACACTGGGACTTTCTTGCAAAAACACACTGCCATGACGTTCTGCTTATTATGACGCAAGCCACACCACCTCTCCCGCCCGCCCGTCAAGCCCCAAGCCCCTCACGGCGCCTGCTTCCAACCAAGATAATGGTCCCGCGCTGCCACTCTGCCCTATCTAATGGCAAAACCCCTACCTTGGAGCCCTCGTTCCGTCGGGCTTCTTGTCCTTCGTGACTGCTGACGCGCTGCCCGGGATACCGCTGCTTTGTAGTATACAACCCAACGCCCAAACTCCACTCAGGCTCTGCCGTGTTTGCTTCCACTGCCTTCTGCCTGTCGCCTCATTTCCCCACTCGCCCTCTGTCATCTTCTCTACCAATCTACCATTTTCGCCTGTACATGGCAACTCTGCTATAGCTCTTTCACTTGTTCGCGCGGCGTTCCGCAACCCGCCATCCACACACACAAGGTTCCTGCACTACCCAACCTCATCTTGCAGCCACAGCAACCATGGTCTACCGCGACCACCCTGATTCCGCCTACGACTCGTACCCGTCGTCCTCTGACAAACAGCACTCTCACCGCGGAAGAAGCCCAGACTATGCCCCCAGAACCAGGTCCCGTGGAAGATCAAATGCTCCCGACTATCAGCCTCGTGACACGAGCCCTGCCTGGGACCGCCGTACTTTCGACGCTGCCTCTCAGCCCATTCAGCAGCCGCTAAAGAATGCCATTGGCAATGCTTTTGAAAAGTCTGACGCAGCCCGTGTCGTCGACCCCAATCTCATTGCTCAAATCACGGCCGAGGTGAAGAAGTCGGTTCTAGATGAGATCAAGTCAGGTGTCATGGCTGGTACGACGCAGCCCCAGCCTGTACCTGTCTCGTCGCAGCAATGGGTTCCACCTTCTCCTGCCTCGACTTCCAACTCCATCCCACCCCGCGACGTCTACACTCCTCCATCCCCCAAGCGCAGCGATTTTGCCCCCCATCACTCCCCGGACCGCGGCCCCTTGCATACCGATCCACTACCAGATACTAACCACGATACGCCCACTGCACGATTCGACCGCACTGTCCCCATGGAGCGAGAACGCCCGCCCACCCGGCCGCCTGCTGCCCCCAGAATGGCAACTGAAGACTACACCCCTATTGAGAAGATGTGGCAGCGCTTGTTCGACTCTGATGGCCAACCCTTGCCCCGCCTAGGTCAACTCCTGAGAGGTCTAGCGCTGCACTTGGCGAGTACCCTGGCTGTCCGCGGAGATACCCAAGGCTAATACCCGTACAGATTGAAGACTACGAACCAAAAAATAGTCTGGTCATTTCCCCTGCCAAGATGCTCCGGTTCTATGAACAAGTCAAGGTCAAGGACGAAATTTATCCATGGCAAACAATATTCGGCAAAATATCGTATTCTTCGCTTTCCAAGATTTACCGAGATATGCGATGCCAACATCATCTTATTCAACAACACCCTGCAGAGCAACCGTACATTCCGGCCCTCACGCCTGATGGGTTTCAAGAATGGATGACTGCTATGATCCAGGCATATCCCGATACCGAGTACGAGCGGCTGACCAAAGCTATTCTCGACATGCCCATCAGCAATGCAGACGATAGGAAGGAACGATTCCCCAAGGAGCTTCCTCGCAGAATATTTCCTACCGCCGAGAATCTTCATGCGCAGCAACGATGCGCCGCTGCTCTTTCCTCGGAGGGTGTCGGGCCACTCCGAAAAGCCCCAACATTCCCACCACCGCCTCCAAAAACCCAAGATGCCCCTTCGAATGGACCGAAACTTGAACGAGAGCGGAGTCCATATACTTCTAAGCCAGAAGTCAGGCCCATGGACATTGATGACGAGTCTAGGCCTACATCAGTACCCATTGAGCGAGAGCGCAAACCGTACTCGGCAGCTCCAGGCGGTGGCAAGTCATATGATGACATGAACTCAAGCACCCATTCCGATACTGCAACGAATGATAGGCGCAGACGTGCGCAATCGAATGCAGGTCAAGCCCCATGGCCATCTCCACCCACCGACAATTCCTACCAACCGCCCCACCACGCTCGCACAACCTCAACAAACGCCCGACAACGAAGTCCGAGTTTCTCTAACTACGGCACTCAGTCGGACCCAAACATTCGTGACATTCCAAACACTTGTTACGGGTCGAACATGTACGAGGATGAGGCTCGTCGCTTCGATAAGGACTTTGATAGTAAAAAGCAAAACCGACGCCGTAGCGGTACCTCTGGCATGGACGGCTCTTTCAACGCTTCTTCACGACCTCCCTACCCTGATGACGATTATCGGGCACGAAACGGAAGCAACGGATATGACAACAGGGGTTACGACTCGCGCCGTTACTAGATGTACGCAATGCCTAAAACAAGAATTGATGAAGTTACGATATATACCCAGAAAGTTGTCCTGTTATTGCGACGAGTCTTCTGTTTTTCTCTCCTTTCGTTAATGGCGTCAATGGAATGTGGAATGACTTTGATGGGAAAACCTTCGACCGAAATTGCACCAGTTGATATTGGGCTCGGAACCTTTGTATATTTTTGATGCAGTAGCTGCTATATTTTCGAGATACCAGAAGAGAATGCATTTGACCAAATTCATTCATTCATTATTTATATGAAGAAGAAAAATGACTAGCGAGCAATTTTATTGTTGAACAAACTAAGTATGTCGTGACCTTGTACTGGTATACTCCCTAAGCTATTTCTAGATAAGGAAGTTTCTGTACGTGCCTTTTCGGTTTCTTCTTATGACGTGCATACACGAAAAAAAATACATTGTTACTCAACATACGTACTAGTTTGTACTCTTTACATAAAGTAGTGCATGCCGGGCCAGAATTTGTAATGCATACAATATCGATATGTGCGTTAGTGTTTTTCTACTATTACATCCGGAGCCGTCCGTTGGCCAAAGAGAATGTACATGTTGTTGAGGACATAAGTAAGAAAGCAAGTCGACATGACTCTTTTTTTGTTTTTATTGTAGAAGGAAAGCGCTAGGGTCCACGTTTGGAGAAAGCTATGTGAGATTCTAGGGTAATTCAATAATCACCATGTGGCTACGAGCACCTTGCATGTATAAAAGTAAAACAATGTGCGCAACGGCGGGACTATGGTGCTAGGTATGATGCAAGTTGTAACATTGCTGTCATACCACCAACCTCGTCAACTTGTTTATAGTATTTGCTGCACATATGAATCGGTAGTGAAGCAGTACTTTTTTTTGAAGAAATAAAAGATGGCTTTGCTGAAAATCCATAACATGAGATAGTTAGCATCTATTACATAATCTACCTCTGGGAATTGGTGTGTTGGTCTCCAGGTGCTCCTTCCTACACTTGCTTTTCTTTCACTTACGCACGACTCACTTGGTACTGCCCACTCGACTAGAACAGCTAACCAAATCAAGAGAACGGTATTGGGTCAGAGGGGATCCGAGGAAAACTATGCGAGTTGTACAGATATATAAAGGCACTTGTCGGAAACAGAAGATCATTATTACAAACTCCACTCCTCACTTCTCACCTAACTTGCTCATCGTCAGTCTCGAAACAAATCCAGTAACCATGCAGCTATCCACTTTCCTCCAACTTTTCTCTACCAGCCTTGTAGCTGCCCAATTCGGATCCACCCTCAGCGGTGGCATGCCAATAACATGCGGAACTGGTAAGTACATACACACACCCTCGCTCTCTTTCCTCTCTCGCGCGCACATGAAGTATCAGCGCCAACACATTTACCCCAAACAGGCTACACACCATCCCTAAGTTGCGACACACCAAGCGATATGTGCTCCTGCACATGTGGCAGCGGAGCCGTCTACCAGAAACCCGAGTCCTCACTCAACCCCGTTCCAGAACCGTTGGACTTTTCCTCCCCACAACGCCTCGCGACTAAACCCTGCACAGGCGACGTCCTCATGCCCTGGAAACACATTGATGTGCGCCGTACAGCGGGTACGGTACAGGATTCCATGATTGGATCCATCCCCATCAACAACCCAGAGGACAGCATTCTCCTCGTGGCTGATGGCTCCCATAGGTGCGAGCGGTTTGAGGTGTACGTTGATGGCGTGTTGGTTGGAGAGACGTCGGGAGAAGGGCCCCGCGATAACTACAAGTGCGATGCTGTAGAGAAATGTATGAAGGAAGGGGCGGATTTTGCTTATTTCACTCTTCCACGAGGTAAGTTCTTGCTTTTCTCTAAGTCTTTTCTTTTCGACGACACTCTCTTCCATTCGTCTTATTTCCCAGCCCGAATATTCACCAAAGCTAACCGTATTGTCTTTTTTTTTGTAGGAGAACATAATATTAGTACCAAATGGGTAAAGACAACCGATGCGTGCAAGGGCTGGCCCAATGGCATTGCCAATATTCAGACTTACAAGCCCTGCAAGTAGCTTTAAAGCACGGGTTTGGCTGGACATTTCCATTCTACCCCACAAAATGCTGGTGTAATTCAACCAACTACGCTGCGTGGAAAATATCTCGCACACTCGCGGGATTTTAGGATTACAGTAATACGGCGCTGAGAAAAAAACGCAGTCCAGTAGAAAAGTCGACACCGTGCTCATATACGAGCACATCACACTCCTTTATATATATAGTGCATAATACATGGCAATTCATAAGCTCTTGTAGCTCTAATCGATAGGATCAATATATCACCATAACCATCTACTTCATCCCTCTCCACAACGCAAATATTGAAACAACAACAAAAAAAAGCCTTTTTGACTTTACCCCCCCCCCTTTATTTTCTTGAGAATGCACACGCCACTCCCTCTTCTACAATCTCTCCAAGAGAAACCAGAGGTTTTTTTCATAGTAAATAAATAAATTCCATATAAAAAAAGTCTTGACAAAGGAAAAATTACGTAGCATAGTAATCACTGCATGCCCAGATTTTGCACACTGCGACCTTTTCCTTGTCATCCCTCGTGTATATCTCATACTTGTACGTCTCTTGATAGTAAGCCTATTGTTTTACTCCGGGGTTTGGGTTATCCGCTTTCCCCCGCCCCAAGTCAGACTGGTTTTGCGCATTGGTCTTGGTTTGGGGGGGATGTGATGGTGTGGTGTGGATATGCGTACTTCTCTGGTGTATTAATTAAGAATATGATTTAGGTGTGGTATAGCGTGGTAAAGTGTGGGGCGCAGGGTGTATTGTGATTTGTCGCGACGGTGCGGCAAGAATGTGGTTGCGGTTTGGTGGATAGCATAGGGAGAGTGGGGTAGAGGTGGGTACGGCTGAGTGATTGGAGTTATGGGGTTAGGCAGCATAGGGTTGTTGCTCATGAGTGGACCATTACAAAAGATTTTGAGGTGGAATGGTTCCGTTGGTGTGTATATTGTATGCGTAACAGTCTAACATCTTTTTTTTGAATATTCAAGTGAAGAGGAGAAGATGGTGTAGTGTATGCCGTTATGCGTGTAACCGTAGAACATTAAGGAGAGCCCAATCGAAAGTGGAATCGTGAATATTATTCCGAATGATGCGTTTGCATTTCCATGTGCAACTCCCCAAACTCGCGGAATCTCATATATTCTTCGTAGAGGTCTCGTAACTGGTATCCTGTACTCGGGTGCTGGCGTTGCGCAGTCGTGTGTCTGAAGTTGGAAAAGTCTGTGGGCGGCAAGTGTTGGAATGTGGGACAAGGCAAGATGAGGAGCGAATTGTGATGCACTCGCGTAGTACGTACGTGTCAATGGGCTGCACAGCCACCGTCTCGCTCTAGGTGAGGCTACTAGGCCGACCAAGATGCCAAAGATCGCCACACAGACCCCAATCAATGTTAACACGGCTTCCTTGGACCATCCGGGAGTGGACCTGGGTCTCGTGGGTGCGGCGTTTACAATGATTGCCATGGTGAGGAGGTGGAATAGAAAAAGATGTACGGATGTCATTGTATGATGTTTGGGGTGGTGAGTACAATATATATTGTAAGTCTGAAGGGGCTATGTAACTGAATTTTTTCCATTTTATGTACAAGAACAAGAGGTGCATTAAGGACTGCCTGAGACGTGTTTTCGTCGAAGCTCAACCGCCCAATTATTGGCATGAAACCAAAACAAACACAGCCTCATACCGGGTACGTACCTCTTAGTATTAGTTTTCGCGGTGTAGCGTCGTATGCGAACGTACTTCCGCATTATTCGTCGCGGCAGCAGGCCAGAACCCTATAGGCTACGCGGCAACACAGCGACACGCCTAGACCTGTAGGCTGACCTCACAAGAAGACTTACAGGCTGGCCTCACTACGTCACTTCTCGCTGATATCAAAAGTGTTTGATATACGAGAGCTATCCAGTTTTTACTCGGCAAAGCTTCGGAGTCAGCAAATACCCCCCCTATTCGAGCTCAAAGAAGCTATACATTATTGGGTCTCAAACTGTGATTGGCTGTCAAGTCGGTCACGAGCGATCAGGAGAGCAATATTACACCTTTTTTAGCACCGCCACATTTTAAATACTTTTGATATCGGCGAGTAGCCAACGCTATCCACTCCGCTTGCTTACTTACCTGTATGCTAACGTACTGCATGTCTGTATATATATTCATATGAGTACGTATCTACTTAGATACGGATGGGTGTGAAGCGTAGAGAAGCGCATAAAGTACAGAGACGGGCGTAAAGAGCATGAACGAGCTCGCTTTGCGATGCCAGGGGTGTGGCCCGGCACCCGGTGGACAAAAAAAGCGATACTCCATACGAGCCACAACTCAGCCAAAACCCAACCAAAATGGATGACACGGCAGAAAACACGCAGAAAGGTGGCAACTTTACAGTGCCATAACATTACAATCTTATTATGATCATCTCTCATTTTCATGCCTATAGTATTCGCAGTATACTGCAGTTATATTCCTAAAGAAAGGAAAACTAAAAAAAGGCCGTTCATTTGATGCTGGTGGCTATATAAGTGCGACCAATTTGGTGTATCGCTTTTTTTGTCGAATGGGTGCCCGGGTCGCGTTGTGAGAGGGTTCACGTGATGTTAAATGTCATCAATATCCCAAACGTAGCCCCTTTTGCACTCTGCATAGAGCTAGTGAAGCTTATAAAGCTAGAGCGTACTAGCGGTCATAACAAATTCCACACCAGATATGTAAGGATGGGGGCAAAGAGTTAGTATCTCGCAATTGTACATCTAAGAGTGAAGAGTGATGATGATGTTACATGTTTTGACAACCAGCTCAGCTGTCTTCAGCCTTGCGCCACAACAGGGATGAGAAAGTGATGGCTTGGTACATGTGCAGTAGTACTCAATCTGATGAGGCAAAATGATCGGGAGACGGTTAAGCTTGTAGATGAAACTTGTAGAACATCATGTGTGCATGCCTAGGTTACCTGAGTTGGAATCCGAATATAATTGGTTGTACCAACTATATGATGCCTGATGTGTCGCTGTGAGGCTTCTAAGCATCAAGCGACTTTTCAGAAGAGACCGAGCGTGCTACCACCAGTGCTAGATATTCCATTTGATTCGACGGGACTCGAGTCAGGTCTTGAAAAGAGAATAGATATGCAAATATATCTCCACTACAATGTTTCTGCATTATAGCATCTCTAGTCAGTTCTGAATAACCATTGGAAAGTTGGTGTCAAGGTAGCTTTCTAGGAGATGCTAGAGGTCAAGAAGAAGAAGAAGAAGAAGAAGAAGAAGAATAAGAAGAATACATTATACAGTGGTCAAATATGAGAGTGTAAGTGATCCAAAGTAGCTGCAAATCGACATGTTTTGCCTTTCGAGTATCAAAAACTCATCCCTTTCAGCTGATTTGAACGCTTCATAACCGCTGTGACAGCGGCACACTACTAGTCGTCGGCTTCGATTTGCCTGATTTGCCCACTGTCGGCAATATATCCTCGTCCGGCTCGTAGCTTGCGCGATCCCCACCAAAGCTATCCTGGACGTATACTTGATTCCGATATCTCGACTTCCATCGTGGTAGCTCTCCATTCTGTGCCCGGCCTACGCCCATGTCTCTCCACCGCTTTGGTGGCTTGACCCCCATCTCTACCAAGTTGGACCATATCCTCTCTCCGCGCTTGTTCCACCGCTCCATTCTCTCTTCGTACTCTTCGTCCGAGGGCCGCCATTTGCTCTTTAGTATGCGACGGATGGCTTCCGGAGAGACTTTGAAGTGATTGGCGAGGACGGGTGTGGTGAATTTATCGGGTTGCGTGCTGTTCAGATGACGTATGCCTTCCATGGTATCAGGCGACAGCTTCTTGCGCGGGTTCCATGCTTCGCCTCCCAATTTCTCCTTCAGGGCTTCCTTTTGCACCTGCCATGCAGGGCGTTCGTTCTTTGCTTGAATCTCTCCTGTAAGAGCGTCCTCGACCTCGGCATCGACATCAGACTGCGCTTTTGTTTTTCCCGAGGACGGCCGATCTATTCGTTGCAGTCGGCGTGAATCTGAGCGGAATCGCGATGGTTGGGGGTAGATGAGTGGTCGGCCAGTCGGAAAAACGGGCTTTGCATTGGCGAATGACTGTATAAAAAGGCTCAGCGTCCGTCGTGTGCAGTTGTGGCAGCTCATGGTTGTTCCAAATTGGAGATGTGAAGTCTCTCTTGTCTGCATCGACGACTTTCTCGCACGGGCCCCAGGACTAAATGTCTACCGCCACTGGCAGACTAGTGCTAGCACGATTCATGATCAGCCGCGACTTGCCCCAAATGGTGACATCAATGACCCTGTCCAACGGTTAGATGCAACGGTCAAACCTCGGAAACCACCTCGAATTTACGATTTCCCGACCGTCAGAGCGATGACCGAAGAGCCAAGCGGCGACATGGATGTGGACCCCTCACCCCCATGCGGGTTTAGGGCCTCGGTATCATATGACGGTTCCTCCATTCCCGTAGGAATGCTCACTCTGCTTTCTCTTGCGCTCACTGTTTCTTGCGGTAATATCGCAGTGCGTGCTTGTTTATTGCATTCTGTTTCGCAGTCATGGCGTTGCCCAACCTGTTCCAGAGGCGCACAGCCAACACTAGATAGTACGTCTGGAAGCGGAAGACTATCACTGACTCGGACTAACCGTTACCAGTTGCTGGGGTTATAGTTTCGAATGGACGCCTGAACATCTTACTCCAGAGCAAATGAAGCCCATGAAGTTTTCGTATGATGTGCTTGCAGAGGAATGTCTCGATCGCCTAAATGCCATATCGCCACCGCACAAGGGTGCTTTGCCGAGGAACGATACCACCAGGAATCAGATGGCATCAGCGCCTGGCACTGAAGAAGAAAAGAAAGAGCCCTTGCCCGTACCAAAACGGGATCTTTATGCTTTACTAGAGGAACATCATGAATCTGACCCGAAACTCGCAGAGCTATGGCGGCAAGTAAACACTGTGCCGGAGTGGGTAGACTGGGAACAGATAGGCAGAGGACAGGATGTTTTCTATCGTTACGGAGGACCCGCTCTGACTGGCCTCACCTACCAATCACTGCTAGGCGGTATGGGTGCTGCACGAGTCGTCGAGACACTGGCACGAACTGGAGGCTTCAGCACAAAGGTAGCAAGAGGAAGACTATTCGAAACGACGCAACATATTCTACAATGCACAAAGACATTGGAAGGCATACAGCCCGGTGGAGAAGGCTTTGCCTCATCGATCCGTGTCCGCTTGTTGCATGCTGCAGTCCGGCAGCGCATCATGAAACTGGTACGCGAGCGGCCCAGCTACTTCAACGTAGAGGAATGGGGCATACCAATCAACGATTTGGATCAGATAGCCACAATTGGTACTTTCTCATCGACACTTATCTACCTCAGTTTTCCACGCCAGGGCATCATCCTCCGCCAACAGGAGATCGACGACTATCTCGCGCTATGGCGGTATATTGGTTATATCATGGGCACGCCGGACGAGTGGCTTTCGACTCGTACCAAAGCAAAAGCCATTATGGAGTCCCTTCTCTACTACGAGGTTAAGCCTTCGGACATGTCAAAGGTCATGGCCAACAACATTATTTATGCGCTCAAGGAAGAGCCACCGACTTTTTCTTCAGCAGACATGCTGACGGCCAGCGCCCGTTGGCTCAATGGCAACACACTGTGTGACCGGCTTGGCTTGAAGCGTGTATCGGCGTACTACTGGTCTCTCATGGCGGGCCAGTGTCTTTTCTTCATCTTCTACTGCTACACCTACCGCCTCTTCCCCAACGCCGACCGCAGAAGGATCGAGCGTGCAAAGGACATCTTCTGGAATCTGACTGTGAAGTCAAAGTGGGGATTGGCTGGTACAGAGACGGCATTCGATTTTAAATATGTCCCGCAGTACGATACGTTGACTCACTTGGGAGATATTGGTGAGAGGAAGCAGCAGCGGTTTAGTAACGAAATGAGGAACCTGAAGGCGTTGGGTATTGCGGTTGGAGCGCTGACGTTAGGGACAATTGTTTCGGTCAAGATTGCTTTGCATGTTGTTGGGAGGATGTGGTGAGTTGTGGATGAGGTACTTCAATTGGGCAAACAGATGTTAGAGTATACAGCACTTGCCCTGTACGGACTGCACCATGCCGCCCTTGCCTAACTTGCAGAGAGTGTATTGTGCATCACGTGTATCACTACGCGTTCATTTCACCTTCACCTTCTCTTTTCTCCTGCCCTGTTCTGCGCAAATACTTGATCGCTGTCGACGGGCTCAATCGCTAGGACTTGCCCTTCAAATTCACACAAAACACATCCTCCTATTTCATATTTCTCCACTGTCTCAAAACTGAAGACTGGCTCCAAGACACCCTTGCAATACAATACGGCTCTCAAACCCAGTCCCACATCATCATCGATACGCTCATTCGACATGCGCAAACGAGCCCCTCGTACCTGTCCTCAGAACCCCTCACAAGATGGCGTATGTGGCTGTCATGAATTCTGGGAGCGCAGCAAACAGCCTTCCTCCAATACCGAGGTTAGTGCAGATGCGACAGAAGGTGGTGAGAAGATGATGGTAGAGCAAGAAAGAAAGAAAAAGAGGAGGAAGAGAGGAGGCAAAAAGCAGCGCAGAAAGGAAGAGAACAAGGGAACGAAAGAGGGAAAAGTGAAGGAGACTATGCAAGTTCTAGTCGATTATGAGCTGCCTTACGACGATGAGCGTCTGGACTGGGATACGGATGAAGTGCGGAGAATGGCGGGAGAGGTTGCGTGACGGTTTCTTCACGGGACAGAGCATTGGATTTCAAGAGTTTATACATGGATAATCCCATCGTTCGATAGGAATTTGGGGACAGCTGTACAAGCAGACTTAACAAGGACAAGGCTGGCTGTTTTGTATCAAGTGGTTTGGTGCGGACAGGCCATGGTTCATCTGATAGCAGGGTAATGCTACGACATCATGTTTCGTATTGAATAACAGGAAAGAGGCATATACGGTGACTGTAGTAGAAGAGTAATGCTGACGGCAGTGATGTGGATGCTCGAGACAAAGCACCACCAGGGCGAGGAGAGCACGGGCCTAGACCCTGGGCCGGCGCGGGCATGACGAAGCCGTGGAAGCTGTTGTTGGCTCATGTCAACACAATATCAATCTCTCCCCGGACTGCCGACTATCTACTGCTGCTCGCTGCTCGCTGCTCGCTGCCATTGCCGCCGTCCACGATCAATTGCCAGCAGCCGTCATGCCGCTTGCCTGCCGCGCCCGATGAGCTGCCTACACGACCGCAGCCCGTGCCGCCCACCCTCGTGCTCCTGATCATGTCGGCATCCAACATCCGGGTATTCGTACAATGGAAGGACTCAACCGTGTTTGCCGGCGAAGACATCGAGTGCACCATTACCTTTAAGAATGTAGCCCTGCCTGAAGGCCGCAATGGCACCCCAGCCACACGACACAACGGCTTTGCGACGGGCGGGGACCGTCAACGCAAGCTGCCCGTTCCGCCAGTTCACTCGTCGACAAGGCCCTCTGTGTCCCGCAAGTCTTCATTCACCTCCCAGCTCCCGCCTGCTCAGACCCGCGGACATCGGCCGGCGCTGTCCCTCCACACGCCGTCAACGCCTGGGGGACACCAGTCGCCTGCCACACCGAGCGCAGCCCAAGCCAACAGCAGCACGGGAGGGCAGAAGCATGGCAGATCCGTGTCCATCATCTCCTTATGCACAGAGGCCGCTACCGAAGCCAGCCACGAGAGAGGCATACCCATCAGACGGCCAGCTAGAGGCCATGGGAGATCAGCCAGTCTGCAGGTCGTGCCAGGCAGACCGAATTCGTATCCAAGTACGACAACCGCAGACACCACAACTGTCACTACAGTATATCTTTGGCTGACACGACAGTAGTTACCTCGCCCGGCCACCGATCAGCCACACACCCTTCTCCGCTCGCTGGCGACGCAACTTCGCCAAGCGCTCGTGACACCAGCGACTTTGCCTTTCCTGCGCGTCAAAACAGGAGACGGCCGGGTATAACAACCACCCCAAGCACTCCAGCTCTCCCAACCCCCGGGAGAAAGCCCTCAAATTCCTTCTCTAAGAACTTCAAGTTCCCTGCCGCTCCGCCGCCACCGGAAGACGCTTCACATCCACCACTCAATGGCAGTCCCACGAAGAAGCCGCTACATATACCGCGCAATTCTCCACACCCGCCCGTTGACAACCATCGTCCTTCAACCAGTGCCAACCTTGAGGTTCTCTCGCCCGTCGCCAGGATAATATCTGGGTCAAGCATGATCGAAACTCCGCGTAGTAGTGGGGAATTCTACTCAATGAGCAACAATTCCAATGAGACCATGGCTTCAGAATACACGGCTCATCCGTCATCGCGACTATTACACCGGCCCCAGCACCAGCGACGGCCATCACACTTGGCACCGTCTAACAAGCAGGCTCAACCAGAATCTATCATGATGGGCTACGCGCAAATAATGGGCACCTTTACGCTAGACGGATCTTTGATCAACCAGGCGCCTTTTGAAGAAGTGAAGAGGAAGGGCGTATTGGGCGGTCAAGGTGGAGGCGGAGTCGTGGGTATTGAAAAGACTAAGCGCGAAAGCGGTCTCTTTGGTGCGCTAGGCTGGGGCAGCATAGGAGAGTCACTGGGCGGATTCCTAGGCCCTTCGGAGCCATCAAGTATCCGAGAGATGAGAGGCATTGCCAGCTCCAAGACCGTTCCTCTCATTTCTACCCCACAGTCAATCTTGTTCGTCGACTTGAAACTTGCGCCTGGAGAAAGTCGCAGCTTCACATACAGTTTTACCATCCCCCGCGGTCTGCCCCCGTCGCACAAGGGACGCTCGATGAAGGTAGCATACAATCTCACTATTGGTACACAACGCGCAGGGTCAACTAGAGAGCAACAAGTGAAACATGTGGATATTCCTTTCCGGGTCTTTGGTAGCGTGAACAGTATGTCTGCCTACTGTCGTTCCGCACTTCGCGCCATACTAATCATATATAGATCGGGGCGAAATCCTTGGGCATGACTTGATGTCTCCGTACATTCTACTTCGTGATCAAGCACGAACGGCGGCTATTGACTCCACATCAACCGGGAACCTCTCTCCGACCAAAAAGGGTGCTCATCGAGGAAAAGCCCAAGAGGATACCTTCAGTGACTTTCTTGATTATGTCAACAATCTGCTAGAGCGGCCCCAGCAAAATACTAACATGGGCTTGATGTCACCTACTGATACTCTTCCTGGCCGGTCCTCATTTGCCGAAGAACCCCAGACTATGAAGGAAGCCATTGATGCCGCAATCTTGCGCAGCAACCTGACCGGCGCAGCAAACCAGAGCGCTAATCGCTTCGAAATTGCTCGCAGCGGTCGACGTGTGGCTGTCATAATGCTCGCTCGGCCCTCTTACCGACTAGGCGAAACAATGACTGCAGTCGTCGACTTTACCAACTCACACATCCCGTGCTACTCAATCCATCTCTCACTCGAGACATCCGAAAAAGTGGACCCCGCAATCGCACTGCGTTCCAATGCCTCTATTTACCGAGTCACAAAGAAAGCCCACGCCTCATTCTCAGAAAACGCGCTCTTCGCCCAGAAACTAGCCTTCTCGCCCACCATACCCCCCAACGCAACACCAGAATTCATCACATCTGGTGTAAGCCTCGAGTGGAAACTCCGCATCGAATTCATCACGCCACGCCTAACACACGAAAATGGCGAAGAAGCAACGTGGGATGATCTCCTAGAAGAAATATCCACCGATGACCGGGGTGTTATACTGGCTGCTGCACAACGACTACCAGCTGAAAGCTTCGAAGTCCAGGTCCCGATACGGGTATATGGTGCTGTGAGTGGAGCACCGGAAGTACCTGATGAACAGGGATACCCGGTTTGAAAATAAATGATGGGGGTTGCTGGGAGGGAAAAAAAAGGAGGGCGGGTAGTTATCATTCTATGAGCTTATTGCTGCTACGTGTACAAACAGAGCAAAACAAAAAAAAACAAGAATCCATGTTTAGAACTACCGGTGTTCTTGTTAAAGCCTTGCGTCTGTCCTGGAGATGCTTTGTTGTACCGATTTTTCTTGAAATGTAGGATCAAGGGTGGGACTTACTCATGGGCTAGGAGAGAAGGTAGAGGAAAAAAAAGGGTCATGGGCTGGGGGAGGATTGGGGAGAGATGTAATGAGCATACAATTTTTTTTTCGCTCTTTGTAATATACCACCAGCTTCATAGGCGAGCAAATGAACAGGAGGAAGACTCTGATAGTAAGAGGGGAGGGCTCGTGGTGAATTTGCATGTGTTCGGTATAACGTTCTGCATTAGACCTTGTATACGACACTCGTCTTGTAACGTTTTTGTGCTTTCTTGCGATTAACCTAATGGCGGCGCTGTTAACTTTGACGTTGAAGATATGAGCATATGGATTAGAGTGAAATAGAAAACGAAGCGCGACTGCATAGCATCAAGCTCAAGAACCCAGAAATATCTAGGGAAATTGTAAAGCATGATATTGTCAGTAAAGGTTTCAAAGTCCCTTTTGTTCAGCTACCTGATTACGCATTACTTCTAGCCATTGCACAATGCAAATACCAGAGGTTCAGAGGTTTAGCTCAGCTCAGCTCAGATTGATGTCATTGATCGTCATGTCGGTAAAAAGTATGTATGGAATCTCCAGTCCATCGCCCTCCAAAAAAGCCTTCTTCATAATCCATGGTCATAAAGTGATGTTTTTTTTTCTCCGCTCTTGTCATTTGTAGTTTCAATGGCGCCCTTTCATCGACATGGCTTACAAGCCACCAGGGCCTGCAGCTGATTGAGTGCTAGCACCCACTCCGGGGCCCATGGCTGCGTGCGTTGCTTCACGGTGGGCTTTCTCGCGTGCCTCGCGCTCCCTTGTCTCTGCTGCAATCTGGTCTTCGGTCTTCTTGTTGCCTCGGGCAATGAGCTTCTCGATGAGTCCTCCCTTCTTGGGTGCGTCGGCCTTATCCGACTCTTCAAATTCTTTCAGATAGGCAACACGCTCGTGTGGAGGCATCGCTGCGAGTTCAGAGTCGATCGAGTCACGGTTTTCTATTGTCGTTGTTAGTGATAAGGCTGAAGTATTGCAAATGCTCAACCCTTGGTTAGAGATAAACAAAGGGGGCGCCGACTTGCGGATGTGGAGCTTTAATATAACATGTGGTATTGATCACGTACCCTCAATAGTGCCGACATGACCAGTACCGGTAGCAAAGTCGTTGTCAGGCTGCGACTTGCGGCGACCGCTGCCAATGTGGAGCTTCTCCTTGATCTTGTCCATTGCTGATTGGAGATTCTAGGTTTGTTGGTGAGGAAGTATTCGCTACAGGGTTTTATTTTGAGCGTAGATGTATAAACAGAGCAAAATTTAGGTGTCTGGGGTGCTGTCTAGGGAGAAGGAGGCGTGGGGATGAGGGGTGATGGCTACCAGCTATGCGTGGCGCCTACGTCATAGGCTGGAGGCAATCAAACTACCAGCTGCCTTGTTATGAGTGGATCTATTCAAGCACGGCTCATGATTTCATATACGAATGAACTAAGGCCACTTTTGTTGCGGTTTGATATTCATGCAATCAGTTCTTTTGGATTACATGTCCTCATTGGGTTACATTGGACATGGATCCCCGATTCGGCCCATTGTGTGCGGGAGCACCTGCATGTGCTTAGCATCCACATCAGACTTGAGGGAAACATGGACGGTAGCGGAAAGTGTTGACATCTACGCTTATGCACAATCTTTACCATTTTTATCCATAGATGACGTGTGTGTCGCGCACATGTTTGCTGTTCACAAAACTCTCAAGTGGAGAACACATGCATCCGGTCGGCCCTGTTATCCAAAGAATCGCCAATACCCGAGAAGAAGCCCTGAGCACATGTACCTGGCAGTACTGTGTAAGGGATTGTGAAGAATTACGGAAGCCGAATACACCTTCGAGTCTAAGCCACATCAAATGTGGAGTTACCTTCTCCATCACGCACCGTGCTTATTCTTGAAGAGGCCAAAAAACGTGGAGCATACAGAAGCTCGATAGTATTATGATATTATCGGTGTATACAAAATTGTTGAGTGCCGATTCATCCTTCTTTTGGAGGCATACAAATAGGATATTACTAGATTTACACTCTTGCCAGAAATGCATACAACCCCGCCCTTCTCTACATGTAAGTGGTATCTCAAAAAAAAACATGACACACCCAAACGCCAATTGTATGCTAAACAAAATGCTAACCCAGTCATCAATATCTATACTGAGGAATCCGAGGCGTGAGCGGTGAGACTAAAACTTGTGTGGCCGAATCGCTGGGTGTAATTGTGCTGTCACTCAGCATCGTACTTATACCATGGCTGGTGCTACTTTCTCCATCCATGTCGTGGTGGTAAGTCGGCGGTGGCGCTTGTACCTCCTGCCATTTGGGTGTTATTGATATCATTGACTCGCCATGCAGCTCTTGTGGTTCGTCCGTTACCTGAACGACTGTTTTTTGATCTTGTGGGTAGGCATGTCCGAGTGCATGGTCGTTGGCAGGAGATGCAAGCTCTACCAATGACGCGCCGTTGAGTTCTTGTGGGCCTGGATCTTTGAGTGGTAAGATACTTGAAGACATGTTGTTTCCAGATTCGATTTCGGATATGTTTTTGCCTGCCAGTTCGTACTGTTGATTGCTCGGTGCCTGCTTCTTGCCGTGTCGTTTACGGAAACAGAGGAAGAATGCTAGAATGGCAATAACGATACCCGCGACTGCTCCGATTGCTATTCCAACAATTACGCCGGTGCTGAGATCTGACGACGAGGATCGGGTTGCTGCTAAGTCGCTTGGTGACACGATTGTAATAACTTCTGCAGGAGGTAGGGGGTCGGGAAACACTGCTTGTGCAACCGTAAAGTTTGCCCGTTCATAGTCGACAATCAAGTATGCCTCCTGTAACAATGTTCGGCCAAGTACGTACTGCGATTCATTCGCGGCGCGGCGGATTGGGAAGTAGTTTGTGGCATTTTGGTAGAAAGGATACGAAGCTTGCAGATCAAACGCAGCATATGGCAGCTGGATATTGGTGTAGTTGTCGGTGGCAGCATCCAGCGAGTTGGTAAGCTTAATGGTAAGCGTTGGGTTCTTCGAGACCAGTTGTTCGTGGATAGTATCATTAACAAGATAAAGGTCTGTTTGAGGGTCATAAGTGAGTCCAAAGGCGATTTCGAATTCAGCACAAACGCTCTCGGGTAACCACAAATGTGGCACAGTTGAATCGATGACGGAGAAATGTGCGCCAGAAGTGAGCGAAAATGTTCCGTGCAGCGTGTTGGTGGCCATTATTGAGTTGACACCGACGGTCAGAAGCCGAGAAGAGTCCTGGGAAAATGTAAAAGATAGCTTGTCGGTGACGGTGTCGAATCGTGTCGCATCGTAGCCTCCAAGAATTAGACTTCCCAGGACAGACTTCAATCGGTACTTTGCGCCTGCCGTATACGCGTAGGAAAAACTGGGTATTTGCTTGTTCTGGCGTAGTTGATAGAGCGTCGAATCGACTGGTTGGCTTTGGCTGTTGAAGCTGGATTTGACCTGGCCAAGCCCAAGCATTCCCAGATAATAGTCGGGATCCGCTATAGCAGAGACGATGGAACCTGTGAGGGATAGAGAGGAGGCGTGATCGGCAGCGGCTCCCAGGGACACAATGTCAGTTCCGAATAGGCCTCGTCCGGTGTAGTTGAGGCCCTCCTCCAAATCGACCTGGAACTGCCCTATCGCTGACCATGTTGACGACGCGTTGACCTGGAAGCCGGTATTTTGCGCACTGTTGAAGATTTCGATTCCGCGAAGCTGGGGACAGTTTGAGGGGTCGACTCCAGCCAGGCAACCCTCTGGAGCAATTACATATGTGACGCCTGCTTTGGTGCTCGGTATTAGACGGAAATCCTGGCCGGGCGACCCAACACTGACTTTGAAAGTGCTCCAGCTGCCATCAGCGCCGTCGAACTTGCCCGAGGGAGGGACAGTGTAGGGCGCGGGGGCGCCCATTGCCCGCGCAACGAGACTCATGATGCAGGGAGCGAAGGGAAGTGAGCAAGCAGAAGGCCATTGAGGGGAGCGGCACAGGGCCTTAGTCAGTGGGTGAGGTGGGGTGCGAGTGACATGGTGTGTCAACCCCTTGGTCGGAGAATTATCGACCCAGTCTCAGTTGGCGGAAGGCTGGCGTGGAAAAGTCGCGAAGGTTTGAAGGAATGGGATGGATGGAAGGGTGGCGGCAACCCGCGGAGTGGCTCCATGGCTCCCGAGGCGAAGATCACCGGCCGTGCTCACCATCCCAAGCTTACCGCAAGCCTGCCTAGTGCAACATGTAGGGCGGTGAATACGAGATGGCATGGGAGCGGCACAAGGGTGAAGTCATGTTGAGGGATGGTCTTTTGGGCGTGCTAGGCTCGCAGCCAATAGGAGGTGGCGGTACCGGAACTCGCCGCTGGTCATGTCAGCCTCCATTCACTTATCTGGCACAACCACCCTGCCGTCTTCCTCAATGCCACTCCTGTTGAGCTGATGCCGTTGCTGGCAGTGTCATGTCCATTTCCACCGGGCGACACTTGGCAGTCTGGGGTAGCGGCTCGAAAATGTCGCAAGCGGCCTGCCTGTGCCTCTCCGGACGCCATACATATCTGTCCATGTGCTGTGGTAGTGTATTCGGCACCTACTATCTACACACCATATACGTACACACAAGTACTGCGCAGCACGCCACTCAGTCCATGGCTTGGGCTGCCCCTCTGTTGGTGCTGGCGCAACGCTGCCACGGCTGCCCTCTTCCATTGCCACGCCCGGATTTCGTCGGCCGCGCACATGGCGGTTCCAAGGGGACGACGTATCACGTGGATACCTGAGGACAGAGTTTGCCATGGCCCCAGTGTCAGCGTCGTCGATACACTACCGGCTCGGGCTTGTAAGTAGCTAGCAGCAAAGTTCACTTCGGCAGTGCCAGAGCACATGCAAGTGGAAAGGCGTGGTACCAGGTGAAGGGCGCTGGGCTTACGGGCAGCACATTGTCGTCGAGCACAGGTAGGGTGGCAGCATGTCCTGACATAACAGCATAAGTATACAGCACATGTAAAGTAAGTAAGTACATACGCGTCCACGGCATGTCGCTCTGCCAAGGTTGGTGCCCACCAGGAGAAGCGCATGGACCGCCGTCATTCAACGCGGCATATGCACTTGGCCGGCCATCATCAAACCTACCCGATCGGAGCATCACTCGCTAGTGTCCCCTCGTCGCTGCTGCGCTGCAACAACGTCTTGCTTTGACCTTTGCACCGTCACTCGCTTTGTGTAAAGGCCATAGTAGCAAGATGCGCACATTCGCTCGTTTATATGTGCCTGCCTTGTTCGCCATTGGCGTGGAATCCAGAGCCAAACATGTAATCAGTATGTTCCCGCGACTACACCTCTCCTCTCTTTGCCAGCCATGTTTCCTCGTGACTAATCATTCGTAGCTGGTATGTTGCACCCTCCAACTTTGCAGGTACACAGCAGAAGGATTGATCGCCCTAGACCTCCTTTCTTGGAATCCTTTTTCTCCGGTTGATGCTCCACAAGAGGAATGGCACGCCCCCGAAGCCCCACAGCCTCCATCTCCTCCCCTCGATCCTCCGGACGATGCTCAAGAGCCTGCGTTTGCATTGCCCCCAACGCTTCCTCCTCATTTTGTCGCGAGCCCTGGCCATGCACCAATTGCGCCCGGTCCCCAGCGTTCAGGTCCAATATACACAAATACGACACCGACAAGCGCCCCAACGCCAGTGGTACCTACATTAGTCACTTTCACTCCTCCTTTGCCACCAACCCATTTTCCACAGGCTACCCCAGCCAACCAAACGTCGTCTTCCACATCCAACTCATCCTGCACAGGCTGCTTCCTTGCAGCCAAACGTCCTATAACTACTTGGTTTGATTCTTCAGGCCTTGCTGAACGCTGGACTAGCACGGTTGTGACCGAGACCATCGTTACTGAGTACATCACCTATGTGAATAATGGCACCATCGACACGGTCGTTACCCAGGAACACACTGTCAATCAAACAAAAACTGTAACAGGCAGTAACAATGAAATCATTACTCACACTACGCCCACGTTCACTGTAGAAGTTACGGATGGGGTACGCCTACAGTTCGATGCAGGGCCCACCTATGTTATCTACAACCATATATTCGGTGGACCAGACCAATATATCAACTTGCAGTTAGGCGACAGCAACGAGACTTTCGCGGAATGTGTGCCCAAGGAGACTTCGCTAAAAAACTGGGAGCCGCCCAGGACTGCACTACAAGACTGGACCCATTTGGTAGTAACCCACACGGAACCACTACAAACGACCACCAAAAACCAATACGATTTCCCATTGCCCACCCAGGTCCTTCAATACCTTGAACAAGAGCCAGCCATTCAGTCGCAATTTTGGGGCCTGGATCTTGCTTCATGTTCCTTTCGCAAACCCAGCATCAGTGATTCCCTCCAGCTATCCTTGCCCCATCCTGGTTCCCCAGTACCTACGCAGCCTGGTGTGGGGTTGCCGCCTCCTCCTGTTGCTGCTTCGCCTACGCCCACGTCTCAACCGATATTTGCGTCGCCAACAACATCGACCTTCCTTTCGACAACATACGAATCTACTTCTGTTCACAACACAGTGCGAGGTTGTTTGAGATGCCTCCCTGACTCCCCGGTGTCAATCAAAGCTGATCTGCCTTCACCAACTCCTGCGAGCAACCCCGATATACATAACTTTGTACCCCCGTCAAACGAGCTCAACAAACCAAGTGACAACGTACCCAGACCTTTGAATGTACCTAGGCCCACCCCAAGTGCGCCTGGACCGGTTGCAAGCCCTGGTGGACAAGTTTCAGACCAGTCCGAGAGACCGGATCACCAAGATCAAGACTTTTCAAATTGGCCTCCTCCTGTGATTGTCATTGGAGGCCAGACACTCAGACCAGGGCAAACTCAAACCGTCGACGGAGTTCCTGTTGTTGTTCCCGTTGTTGTTCCCGGGAATGGTGAGGGAGCAAGGATTATTGTGGGCAGTAGCACAGTTGCTCTCGATGCAGCAGTAACACCAGGACCCCCCGTGCTCACTATCGGTGGGGGAACAATCGCTGCCAACCCACAAGGAGAGTTTGTCTTCGGGACGGAAACTTTGAAGCCAGGAGGCCCGCCTGTCATTGTCAATGGAAACACTGTTAGCCTTGGCCCTGGTGGTGTTGCTGTTGTCAATGGCGCCACACAGACTATTACTGCTGGGCTTCCACCTTCTGTCACTGTCCCTCCTGCATCGGTTGTAGGTGATCGTACCATATTTGCGACAGTAGTTGGGGGGTTAACGGTCGGTGTTGTAGAGCCTGGTCAGGCGGTAGGCGCAGGCAGTTGGGTTGTGGTTAGTGGCCAAGCAGCTTATGTACCCGCTCCTGGCTATACTCTCACGCCCGGTGGCGTTCTTACCCTGGCCGGAATAACATACTCTCTGCCTCAAGGCGCACCGGGTGGTGGTGGTGTTATTGTGATCAACGGTCAAACAGCTTACGTACCCGCTGCTGGTCAAACCCTCACACCTGGCGGCGCTCTTACCATTTCGGGAACTACATACTCCTTGCCCGAGGGTGCACCGGGTGGTGTTGTTGTGATCAACGGCGTTACATCTACCATGACTCCTGGTGCTGTTATAACACCTGCTCCTGCGCTGACGATCAGCGATGTCACGTACACACAAACAGTAAGAGACGGAACAACAGAGTACGTGTTGGGTAATGGCACGACGCTTGTACCTGGTTCCACGGTTGAAATGGATGGAACAACATACTCTTTAGACAAGTCAGGTACAGCCTTGATTATCAACGGACAAACGAGCACCGTCCAAAGTTTCCCGAAGAGTAACAGTGCAAGCACTACCAGCTCAAGCATGGCATTTGTAACGACAAGTCGCGATGCTGGCGATCTTATTGCCAGTGGTATAGGCCAGACCAGCAAAGGTGCTGGTGCCTCAGTACAGCATGCAGGCTTCGACAGATGGGTTGAGGGCCTAGTCGTTGGCGCTGCCGGTTGGTTGTTGATGTTATTTTAAAAAGTGATTTGGGTGGTCAGACTAATAGCACTCATGGTTTGGTTTGTATAATAGCGCGGCGCTTTGGGATTGGAAGAGGACTTTGGGAAATCCTGGATACACTCTATGACTTGGCATGGAAGAATACATTGGGCCAAGACACCATCATTTTGAGCAGTACGTGTGGTTATACTGCATGTCATACTAAAATAATATCTAGTATATTGGATCGCATCGGATAAAAAGAGAATAAATGAATATATGATTCAAGGTCTGCATTGACGCGTGAGTGAAAGCCGTTCGAATTCGATACACTAAAAAGATATGAGAGCACACAACGGGCCAACATACTGCTCAACCACTTACATGGTACAGGTCATTTTGATGGAGAAGGTAGATTTGATCGTACGGGCGGAGTGACAAAGTGAAGATTTTGATAGACTACTAGTTTGTTGAAGAGGCTCAGCTGGTACTTGAAGATGGCCGAGTAGAGCGGGCACAATTAGAGAACACGAGATTGATACAAACTCTTTGAAGAGCCGACTTCAATGCATGACCTATACTACAGAACTAGAGATCTGATACTACTTGGCTAAGCTATTTGCTATTGCACACTGTCAATCTCTGAGCGAGCTCTGATGACGGCATTTTGTTACTTTAGAAAACATAAAAGCGCTGAATTTGGCTCATGAGATACACCTTGGTTTCTCATTCCACGGCTAAAATCTCACTCGATGATAAAGATAATGCGGATACGGGGAGGTTGATGTTGTCGTGAGAACATGGTTCGCAGCCGAATCGGGGATAGTCGCAGCCCAGTGCCGAGCCCGCTCAGAAACCTCATCGCAGCATCCTCACCAGCAACCCGCGATCCCGAAAGCTGCCCCCCATCTCCGCAATCCATCTCCTCTCTACCCGCCATGTCTGCAGCTCGAGCCTTCAGCACCGCTTTCCGGGCCGGTGCGCCCCGCGCCCCAATTGCTGCCCGCTACGCCGCCACTCGAAGCTACGCCGCCGCTGCCCCATCTGGCTCTGCCATCAAGCCCCCGGTTGCCCTCTTCGGCGTTGACGGAACCTACGCGAGCGCTCTGGTACGACTTCCATGAGTTCAATTGGCTAGTTAGCAATGATTGGGAGGATGCAAGACGAAGGGAAACAATGGGAGAGTTTTGGAGAAGAGGAAAGCTTGGCTAACATTTTATGTGTGTTAGTACACCGCGGCGGCAAAGACCAATGCTCTCGAGCCCACGGCCAAGTCTCTGTCGAACCTCCAGGGTGTGTTCCAGAAGGACGCCAAGCTCAACGAGATCCTCCACGCGCCTTCGCTGTCTGTGTCGGATAAGCAGCAGATTGTCCAGGAGCTCCAGAAGCACATTGGCAGCGCTGACAAGGAGGGCATCGTCAAGAACCTGCTCAACACTCTCGCCGAGAACAACCGATTGAGCGTGCTGAAGGGCGTTGTTGAGAAGTTTGGCGTGCTCATGGGTGCGCACCGTGGTGAGGTTGAACTTACCGTTACCAGCGCTGCGGTACGTAGAAATTTCTGGATATTAGAGAGTGCCCCCAAAACTCGAAGATGATGGGAGCGGGAGAGAAATGGCGTTGATGAGATGCAAATGACTGACAAAGAGAACAGCCCCTTGACAACCGGACAATCAGCCGCCTTGAGACCGCCATCAAGAACTCGCAATACGTAACCAGCGGCCAGACGCTCAAGGTTGTGCCCAAGGTCAACCCTGAGATCCGTGGTGGACTTATCGTTGAGATTGCCGACCGCACGATTGACTTGTCTGTCGCCAACAAGATGGCCAAGATGAACAAGCTCCTCACTGAGGCTTTGTAAGCTTAGAAGTGTGTGCGTGTATGTGTATGTATGTGCATACGATGAATGGACAGTGAGGGAAGGGAGATGTGTATTTTAGATGAGTCTCGGAAAAAGAGCAATTTATTACCGTCTACCACCTTAATTTTATGCAAGTGCTAGAGAGTGATTCGAGTGTATGTATGATTTAGGTACGTTATAGTGTTAAAGTAACTGGTGGTTTATAAATCAGAACATTGATGCAGTGACTTATTCCTAGCATGTTTGACAATCTTAACATCATCACTACACTTCCGGTCTAGTAGCCTCCTCCTTCTCCTCCTCCTCCTCCTCCTACTATGAGCACCCTACACATCTCACTTTCAAACACACACAAGCAAATTCCCCCCCTTCTACTCCCCCTCTGCCTGCTCCTTGATCTCCACCTCCATCTCCACCTCCTCCTCCCTCCTCCCTTCCTCTTCCCCTTTCCCTTCCTTCCCAGACCCCTCCCTCAAACTCGCATCAACAACCCACCCCCCATCATACTCCTCCCTCCGCATCGTCGCCCGCCCGACATCCAACTTGGACGCCAACCCTTTCAGCTCCGCATCACTGTACTCGCCCGAGTGGAAACGGTACCAGAACAGTAATTCGTTCATGTGCGTTGCGTTGGTGACTTGGATACTGTCGTGATTTTTAAGTTTCTGAAATGTTGGTCTCTCGTGTTAGTTTTGTGGGCTATTACGCTTTTCGTGTGTGTGTGTGTGTGTGTGTGTTTTTGAGAAAGGTGCGGGTTGAGAGAGATCAATGGGTGGTGAGGAAGAGGAGGAACGTACGACGGTGGTAGGAAAGGTGAAGAAGAATGGGGGTGTTTTTTCGAGTTCGGCAATGGTGAAGGGGCGGGTGGAGGTGCAGGCTAGGCTGGGGACTTCAGTGATGGAGGCTAGGGGTTTGAAGCGCGGTGAGTCTTCTTGCTTTGGTTGTTGCGGATGTTGCGACTGCAGCAGCTGCTGTGGCTGTTGTGTGTGTGGAGATGCGCTGTTGGTTGCTGTACTGGCTGGAGTTGGAAATGACATTGTAGCTACAGATGGCGTTGAATGAATATATGCCTTATGGTGTTTGAAGTACTGCTTGGTGATATTGATACTGTGTGAGTGGGTGGTGTTGCGGACAGGAGTGGATGTGAGTGAATACGTAGTTTGGTTGTGAAACTGTTGGGGGAAAGAACGAGGTGGGCTCATCAATTGTGGTTCAGCAGGGCCGGATGGGTACAACGGAACAACCAGAAGAGGATCAATTCATGAAAAAGAAGGTACCCGAGAGCAACCTGCAAAACAGTGTATCTATACTGTCCAGTTCTATTGTAGCTTGCAGTAGTTTCTCCCATGCTCTACCTGCCAGCGACAGAGACTCACCTCAACGACCATGCCCAAGAAGCCGGCAATGCAAATGCCAGCCGAGTCACTTACGCTTGTCGCACCCAGACTAAACTCCCTGTCCTCTTTGGGCACATTATCGGTTATCTCAGCAAACGTGCTGACGTAAACCAGGCCGCCTAGCAAACCTTCCCAGAATATGATGATGCAGACAATGTAGTAGCTTGGGATGAATGCAAACATGGCGTGCAGCGTGAGCAGAATGAGATTGCCGACTTGGAGAAAGGAAGGAAGGTAGAGATGATGGATGCGTATGAAGGGCGTTGAAGAGCGTGAGATGAAGACACCGACCTGGTAGATTGCATTGTAGGTGCTGTAGAAGGAGCGGTACTCATCAAAGGGGGAGGATTCGAGAGGGAACAGCAAGGTGGGTGCGACACCTTGGTTGATGGTGTACTCGGCAATGTAGACTAGGAGAAGAGGCAGCATGCTGGGGTGTGTCAGTCGCAAGTGGGTGGGTGACATGGGGGGGGGGGGGGGGTTGGGCTACTTACTAAGGAAAGAACAAGCCTCTTGCACGGTTCAGATTGGCCTGGAAACTACTCAGCGCACTACTAGCAGGCTTACTGTTGGCGGAGCTAAAGGTGCGGCCCGAGGCCGAGTGCATCGAGGAAGAGAGCAGGTCATCGTGCTCCCGGGCCTCTGTTGCTTCTTCGTCCTCGGCGTCTGCTTCTTCATCGTCGATGGCTTCGTACTCGGCCTGCTTACTGGTGCCAGCGCGGAGTGGGCCAAGGGGGAGGACAAAGAAAAAGCTAAAGATCATGACCAGGGGTAGGAAGGAAAAGACAAGCAAGCTTGTGCGGGGATCGATGCCGAGTGTGTTTGTCGCAATGGCGTATGCGCCCGCACCGATCAAGCCCGCACCACCCGTACCGGAGCCCCAGGAAGCCAGTGCAAAGTGGCCGTAGAAATGGGTGAGACCCAGGAAGCTAAGCTCGCCACCCCCGCTGCTGAGGCTGGCCATCATGATGCCACACATTTTGATTGCGATTGTAGCCGAGTCCTGCAAGGGCGGGGTGAGGGCGATGATGAGCATGCCGGCTGCGGACAGGGCGACAAAGGCGACGATGCGGACATGGTAGGGGATCTTGTGTATGAAGTAGGGGGCGCATAGTTTTGTAAGGAACGAGGGTAGGACATCGGCGAGGAGGACGACGCCCTTGGGGACGTTGGGGCCTACGAGGTCGAGGGCGGCGGAGAGGATGATTACGTAGAGGACGTTGTTGATGAGGCCTAGAGCTTGTAAGCGGGGGTGTCTGTAGGCTGAATATTGAGCATGCAGGGAGATTGCAGGAGGGCGAAGAGGCATACCAAACAACCAAAAAGCCGCACACACTCTTGGATCAGCGCCATGGAAGACGTGCTGCAGACGGGCGCGATAGAGGGCCCAGGAAGAAGCAGGAGAGCCAGGCATGGGGAGGAGCGACATGTATTTGCGAAGGGGGATGGCGGCACTTTACATATCACACACACACATATGCACACGCATACATAGACTGCAGAGGGGAAAGGGCTACAGGGCACGTGGAGCGGATACGGGCGTGGTGGGTGAGTGGTGGTTGTGGTTGTGGTCGTGGTCGTGGCCGTGGTAGTGGCCGTGGTAGTGGTGGTGGTGAGGGCTGCAGCTGACGATGTGGCTTGGCATCTGGCGGTCTGGGAACCATTCAGGAACAGGATGCATGGCCTGCTGGTCCGAGGTTGCATCGACGTTTCTTTTTTGTGCGCGAGTCGCCATGGCATGCACCCACCACACCCACCCACCAGGGCGAGACGGCTACTAGGGCGTTTTGCCATGTGCATGCACACATGTGTACGCATCATCCACAGGCTGGCGGGTGTGGTGGGCACATGGTTTGCATTTGATGCTGCTGCCATCACATCATGGCCAGCTAGCGGGCGTGGGCTGGGGGCCCTGGTAGCAGAAGATGCACGCACATGCGGGGCTCTCTCGGCCTCCTGCTCGCCTACAGGGATGCAGCCACTAGCGGCCCTCTCGCCGTGCGGCAGCGCTTGGGTCCGTTGCGCCTTTCTCGTTTCCTCGCATGCTCGACCTTTCTGCTGGTGCTGGTGCTGGTGCTGGTGCCGATGCCTTTGCTGCCTATGCCTGATCTTGCCCTCACCCTCTCCCTCACCCTCTTCTCCGCTTCTTCATTCCAATACCTGCTGATCCTCGGTCCCTCTTCCCATCTTTCCCCTCCCTTCTTGGCACCACCCTCCCTTCTTGCGCAACCATCAACAGAGCGGACCCTGTCACGCTGTCTTCGCAAAGCCCCTCCATTGCCTGCTATACATAGTACCGCCGAGCCCATGAGCCCAACCCTACAATGAGCCGCCCGCCGTCTTTCCAACGCCCACCAGATGGCCCCGTGAACAACAGCCACCCACACTCCTCCCAGCCCTATCCCGCCTACCCTCCCTCCTCGCCCTCACCCTCGCAACAGCCCTCGCACGCGCCCCACGCCGCCGACGCAAAGTCGACCTCTCGTCGCGACGCATTCTACCCTTCGACCCCGCAACACGCTCGACATGGCAGCCAAACGCGGCCGGGAGGGAACAACGTGCCCCAGGGCCAGGCAGGAGAGGGGCACGCCCAGGGAGCTTGGTCAAACACAGGTACGGATCACTGTCTACCCATTTCTCCAAGAGCGCACCAAGGCGCATGGACAATGGCTGCCCTGGCCTGCAATCATCGACACAGCCTGTACATATATCACTGAGAACTGGTCGGGTGGGTGGGTATTCGACAAAGAGACGACATGGACCAGAGGCATCGCCTGCAGGGACAGGGTGCATGCCACGTCAATTGCGAAAAAGCACCTCACCGCCTGTCGACCGTCCATTGTAGTGCACACAGCGACAGGCCATGGTTCCCAGCTAGCAGTCGCCTTTGACGGAGCGTCGCAGCCTTCCAGCCCGAGCCACACAATGATTTGAGCTGCGCACTTTGGTGCGCGCCAGTTGTTTGGTGGAGCGGGCATGGGTCTGGCGAATTTCATGGCGCACTCCGCACATGTGGCTCCTGGCTAATGCAAGATCGGCGGGCCTCTAAGCCTCTTTCGAAAAGTCGCGACTCACCGTCCAAGCTTGTGCTGATCCATGTCTCTAGCGCGACCGATTCACTATGAAACCCATCACGTCCAGCCGGGCCCTTTGCCAGCCATGACCACTCCAAATAATAATAATCCTCCCCCCGCCCCGTATGCCTTCGACGCTGCCCGCACTCGCTCGCTGAACGGCGCCAGTCCTCCCCATCCATACGGTACTACAGCCCACCCCCGCCTGCCCGCACCCAGTCACCCCCCTCCCCTCCCCTCCAAGCTTCTGCTCGAGCTAACTCTGCACCAAAGGCCCGTCTCGCGACCCTCCACCGCCTCCATCCTATGCGCGACCGCAGATGCCTCCTCCATCCTCGCCCACCCAGCAGCATCCTCATGCATCTCAACCACCGCGCTCGCAATACCCTCCCAACTTTGCTGCCGCCAGGGAGCTCCCAGGCCTAGGCCAAGCAATGCGACCGGGTGCCAGCATGGCCATCTCATCCTTGATCGGTGGCGGGGGTGACACAGGCGCCCCCATCCAAACAACACAGTCGCCATCATCGCCCTCCGCAAACGCGCCCTCATCCAACGGCCACAGCATGCAGCCGCCCTCGCCGCGTCACGCATTGCCATCGGGCCCCCGATCAGACTTTGCGCCCTTTCGCCGCCAGCAGACGCCCGAGCGCGGCACGTATGGAGCAAACACCTCGCGCCCCTCTGATGCACACCCTTATTCATCGGCATCACCTGGCCAGTCCTACAGCAATCAAGCCTCGCCTGACTCTGGCCGCCAGTCGCTTCCACCAAACGCACCGCCTTACAAGCCCATGAATTTTCCTGGCCAACGTCTCTACGCGCAGGACCCGAATCGCCAATCCGCTACAAACGTCCCGCCTCGGCCGAACAGCCAGCCAAATGGCCCACCAGGGAACAATGATCAAGAGGGCAGGGTCGTGTATGACGCGTTTGGGAGCCGGCGCGACACATACGGTCCACACGAAGAGCGGCGACGAACCTTGGGCGAGTCGCATCACGCAAGACCGAATGCCGCTGAGCTCCTGGCAGGCGGTAACCAAAGCGGACCCGAGAGAGATAGGGCTGCGACCGTACATCCCGTGTCACAATCTGCATTCAGCCCACCGCAAGAGCACCGCAACATTTCTGGCTCATCGGAACCCCCGCGCAACTTGTGGCGGCATTCGGCACCAACGGCCCCTAGCCGCGAACATGGCCACGATGGACGACAAGACGAGCCACCGCCATTGCACCGCACGTACGGCCCATATCCTCCTGCCATGCTGGGAGTTGCACGCTATGGCGCGCAAACCTCCGAGGAGATGCTCCGCCGCAGTGTGGACCACCTAGGGCACCGTGTGGTAGAGCAGTACCATGCTCCTCCTACCTCGGACCCGACCACCATGGAGCGCCACAGAACTGAGCCACTTGCTCGCTCGTTATCTTCTGGAGGGAGGTCTCTGTACGACCAGCCTCAGAAGATGGGTGAGGCCATGCAACACTCCAAGTCGCACATTGGCTTCGGACTCGAGGCAAGCAGACGAACCGGTCGCGCCTCCCCATTGCCGCAGGCAGTCCAGGGTGCGCAAGGACAACCCCTGTCAATTGGCAAAGATCCGGGAATCAAGAGCGAGTTTGGCCGAATGTTTTCAGGTTTGGGCAGTGGTTTAGGATCGTCTACACCGTCGCGTGGAAGCCCAATGCCACAAAACGGACAGGGTTCGTTCGAGTCAGAGAATGGCGAGATGATGAGAAGAATAGGCTCTCAGCAAGGAAAGAAGCCAAAGCGAGCAAAAGACGAGGAGGGTGTCTTTGACATGGACAGTCCTGATGGCAGAGGAACCCCGTTCGGCTCTCGCGGTGCTAAACGCAATAAACATCATCACCACCACCATCATCATCATCCCCCGCCTCATCAGTAAGTCAACCATGCTGTTCCCCCTTTTCGCCTACTTTCCAAAGTTCATGCTAACAATTTGGCAGTCATCATCATCACCACCACCATCACCATCATCAACACAAGCCCGACGACGAAGGCCTGCCCGCACCGACGACGGCGATTCTCAACGGCCGACCAACGCCCCTACCTCAAGCAGGTCCCGGCCAGTCTGTCCACCATCACCACCATATTCAGGGGAATCCCCACCATCACCATCACCACCATCACGCGCCCCGCCCGACCATGCCTGTGGCACTTGCAGCACCAATCAAGATTCACGACATACAGCCCATCTTGGAAGAAGCTGCCAAGCGACCTCGAAGACATCTTGGATCACAATTGTACCAAGCCAAGACTGAATTGCCAAAACCCAATTCATCGTTGGATGACCAATTTGGCTACGCCTCGAAGCCCCAGCGACTACCGCGCTTTGACGTTAATCCTATCAACTGTACCTTCACAATCAGAGTGCCGAGATACTACTTGAAGCCACGACAACGCCAGCATATTGTATTAGAGAGGCATCTCTGGGGGGCGCGTGTATACCGTGATGATTCCGATCCTCTAGCTGCTGCTATCCACTCGGGGTGGATCCGTGGCGAGTGGGACGATACCGTCGATGTTGCCATGCTTGATCCACGCATCACAGCGCCCAACGATCCGTCTGACGCCGAAGATGTCCTTACCAAGCTCCCCGCTGCGCCTGTAACCCCGCCTGCCGACATGGATTTGCAGATTGAGATTGTCATTCTGCCGCAGCTTCAGGAGTATATGGGGTCGGTCGAGTACGGAATCTCGAGCAGGAAGAGCAAGGGACACGAAGGCCTTAGCTTCATGATTAACAAGATTCGATGGGTAGAAGAAGGTATTGGCAGCCGAGGACAAGATCGAACAGCAGCAGCATTGAAACGCCGACTGGATGCCAGCGCTGCACTGCTCGCTCTCAAGAGTGGGATTGTTGATTCCTGCAGGGTTAATGGCATTGCAAGACTACACGCTTGATGTTCAGTCGAGTTGGCGCAACCTCTCGACATATAACGGCCGTCTCAGATTTTATGGCATATGGAATTTTGTAGCATGCAGTTGAGTTTGAGCATTGCTAGATACCCGCATCTTTTATTTTATGCTCGAGTTTTGGCGCAGGATTTTGCACATAGCGAAGGCGAACAAGTTTGTGTTGCTATTTTTACGACAATCTGAAGGGGTGTTTACTAATTGGGTATACCGAGAAGAAGAGGACGAAAGCAAAAAGTATCTGGTAGCGCTTGTAGTGATGATGAAATATTTATAGCGTGATTTGATCCTGGTGTTGGCGTTTGTGCACGTGGTTTGGGTAGTGGAAGATAAACACATCCCGCGGGATTACACACGCATACACATACATGCAAGTTTAAGGCGATAGCGGTGTGAGCTGTTCCTGCTTGGAGCACAGATAAGGCAATCGGGCCTTGTGAGCCTAGATACTACACTTGGCCGTCTTGAGGCGAGGATCCATTCATCAACTCTCGAACACGCAGCAAAGCAATTACCTACTGAGTGCACAGTATCCTTCTGGCAGCCAGACCCAGGAAGACTGCCCCGCCAACCTGTCCCACCGCTTGCGCCACCACGCCACAGCACTATCAGACATAGCGGGACTGTGCTGCATTGATAGCAAAAATGGGGCATACGAGAACCTATTCCATCTCGACGGTAAGTAAGCTCGTATTCCTTGGGCAGATTGCAGGCTGCCACCATGACTCTGGTCCATTTTTGCCATGGCTGGCATGAACTTGGTTAAGAAATTTCACCCTCTTTGCGACGTTCCGGCATTCGGCGGCTTAAGGCATATTTCTGGACTACCCCCTAGCCATGCAACTGGAGCCGTTGTCGTCATGGCGCAGAGGACTATGGCATCATGGCACACGACCAAAGAAAAAGAGCGTAGCAGCGCGACTGTTTGGAGCCACATAGTCAATGGCACAGGCCCAGCAGACCGAGGCGTTGGCCGACAGCAATGTACGCATCGCGAGGCACAAGCAATCGCGCATTTTAGAATGGTCGCAACAGCCATCCGTCCGTCCGGGGAGACGGGCTCGATTGCAAATGAGAATGTCTGGCTGTCGAATGAGAATCTCGCAGCAGTGTCTGCTCCACTGCGCCCGCTAGTCTGGAGCCGCAATCCGAACGCTTGCTGGTGAAAAGAAGGACAACGGCACCGAATGCGGGGAATCGTTGTCAATCGTCAATCCATCGTCCTTTCGCTTCTTGATGGCCGGACCGAGCTCACGATTCTGCAACACAACACCCCACGCCCTTACCGCTATTGCTTCAGCCCAAACCCACCACTAAACGATCTGCCGCTCGGGAGCCTCTCCCCTTGACCGCCCAATACTTGTCATTGCCGCCTCTTTGGTTAAAAAGCCGCATTCCGTCCCTGCGCCATCGGAACACCCTCGGGCTAGATTCCGACCTGTTGCTTTTCTCTACCTTCCCATTCTCGTTCTTACCTTGCCCACCTTTTTTTTTCGACATTGCATCTTAGGGAGCTGGACTCGCCGCACAACATGACGGACACCAATGGAACATATGCGCCAAATATGCGCGCTGTGCCTGCTGGCGATTTCGTACGGCCAAGCAGAAAGACTAACGGTGCTGGTATACAGGCTGAAGACACTCGGATATGCGTCGTCATGGTCGGCTTGCCCGCGCGAGGCAAGAGCTTGATTGCACAGAAAGGTATGTCCCTTTTCCACATGTGCGCATGCCGCCCCTGACCAAATACTTTGTAGTTGTCCGCTACCTACATTGGCTATCAATCAAATCCAAGACGTTCAATGTCGGGCAGTATCGTCGCACTGCAACCCCTAACCCCTCGGCCGAATTTTTCGACACATCGAACCCAGAAGGAGAGCGCCTCCGAAAGGCAGCTGCCGAAGCGGCTGTCAATGACATGTGCAAATGGTTTTCCGAGGGCAAGGGATTGGTCGCGATTCTCGATGCGACAAACTCTACAAAGAGCCGACGAAGATGGATACAGGAACGATGCACTGCGGACAATATCGAGACGCTTTTTGTCGAGTCCAAATGCGACGATGAGGAACTTATCATGAGCAACATTTTGGAAGTGAAGACAACCTCTCCAGATTACGTTGGCCAGGACCCTGAAGCTGCTGCTGCCGATTTCCGCAACCGTATTCGAAACTACGAAAAGGTTTACCAGACAATTGATGAGGATGAGCGTGACCTCACATATGTCAAGCTCATCAACGTTGGCAAGCAGGTCATTATCAACCAGATCCAGGACTACCTCCAGAGTAGAGTTGTGTACTACTTGATGAACCTGCACATCAAACCACGATCTATCTGGTTATCACGAGTAAGTTGGCACCACAATATCTGGAGCTCAATGCTGATTACGGTAGCACGGCGAGTCGGAATACAACCTCACAGGGCAGATTGGAGGAGACGCGAACCTCTCAGCCCGCGGCGACGCTTACGCGCATGCGCTCCCAGGTCTCGTCGCAAAGTCGGTCGGCGATGGCCGCAAGCTTACAGTGTGGACATCGACCCTAAAGCGAACAATCCAGACTGCACGATTCTTGCCTTTTGAGAAGCTGGAGTGGAAGGCGCTCGACGAACTCGACTCCGGTGTCTGCGATGGACTTACGTACGCGCAAATTGAGCAAAAATACCCGGAAGATTTCAAACAGCGTGACGAGGACAAATACAATTACCGCTACCTTGGTGGAGAGTCATACCGCGATGTCGTTATCCGACTCGAACCCATTATCATGGAACTGGAGCGCAGCGAAAACATTTTGATTGTTACACATCAAGCCATTTTGCGATGCATCTACGCCTACTTCATGAATGTACCGCAGGAACAGAGCCCCTGGATGGAAGTACCTCTGCATACGTTGATAAAATTGACACCAAAGGCGTACTCGACACAGGAGGAAAGGTTGAAAGCCGACATACCGGCCGTCAGTACCTGGCGAGGAAAGGGCACTAAGGCCGAGCATCAGCCGGCGAATGGTACCACGTAGCTTCATTTCTTCTAATATCTGGACAAATTCGCAGCTCGCATTGTCCAGGAGTAAATGTTGGGAGAAGCGTTATGAAGGAGCTCGTGAATAGTTATCAACAGCACTATAGAGGAAGGAGGGAGCTATGATCGACTGTACGTTGGCTATTTCAGCGTGTGCGTTGAGGCATATGGGATAGGTAGCATTTCTGCGGTTTGGGTCAAAATATCATTAGATGGCAAGCACTCAGAGTAATGGGCATAGATTGGAGGGAGTCAACTTTGGGATCGTAACGTTAGGAAGGCAGACCATTGGTATCACAAACAGCAAACACTTAGATAGAAATTCGTGTACCGAGTTTTCATTCTTGGCGTGAAAATTGGAATATAAGCAAATGTGTTTGAAATAGGAGTATGATCAACATTCTAGAAAAGGCAGATGTGTTCCGCTACCCAGGTGTCGGTACGTACTGCCCACCTTCCCATCTCAGCCTCTCCCGCGGACATTGCAGTAAACGGGCTGTGCCGCAACCCCACTTCACCTCCACACCCAAACGACTTACTGCTCCTGCCATTACTACTCATACCAACACCGGACGACCAACACCCCAACTCCCCTACTCACTCATCGGAGGAGCAAGAAAAAAAAGGATCAGCCCACAGCAATGCGACAATGACGCCGCCACCAACCACGAACACGGGCTACCCTCCGCTCCATCACCAGCACCAGCACCAGCACCATGCTTCCGCCTCAGACTCCCCTCCCATCTTAGAACCCCCTATACCTGCTTCACACTCGACTCAAACACCCACCGCAACCGCACCATCCCCCGCAAGCGTCACACCACACGCCGGATCCCCATCGCACCCACGCCCCCACCACCACCGCGGTCCCCCACCTCCCTTCGACCCGCGCAATACGCATGGTAAAAAAGAGGAAGAACTCCGTCGGAATTTGCAGGCGCGGGGCAAGAATTATAACATCGGGAGTAGTAGCACTAGTAGCAATAGTAATAATGCGGGGAAATCGGGGACAGCCCAAGCGAGTAGAGCGTGGGGGTATGAAGAGAGGCAGCGACGCGATGAGGCGGCGGGGATACTGGAGAGTGAGGAGATGGTGATGTGGATTGCGGGGGTGAGGAATGAGGTGATTTATTCCTTCTTTTCCATCTCTCTTACATTGTGGAGAAGATTGGGCGCTTTTCTTTTTTTGGTTTGAGGGCGAGACTGACGGGCGAGACAGAGTATAACGCAGACGCGGGCGTATTATCGGAATGTACTGCTTGGGCTGGAGACGTGCGCGAAGGATGCGCTTGTTTGGCGGGATGAGTGGGAGGGGACGCAGCAGCAGCAGGGTCGTGATGGGGAGGGGTCGGGGAGTCCTGGGAGGAGCGGGAAGGGGAAGGAGAGGGAGATTGCGAAGATGAGGAAGAGGGTGAGTTTGGGGGTGGGACAGTAGTAGGTACGATTTAATGGGCGGGGAAGGAGAAGGGAAGGAGGTTCGTATCGTGATTTTTTTTGGCAAACAGCTTTATACCCACTCATGTACTTGGATACATCTTCACATCACGACGTTTTTTCTTCTTCTCTGAATATAAATAAGATCCAGAGAGGCACGTTACTCGTTGCATTAGATACCTGCGCTCGTAACCTGTCTTCTCCCCTAGGTCCAAGGGGATATATATGGGGTTCATAACGAATGAATTCCCAGAACCCCCCCCCAATTCTTTTTCCCCTCTTTTACAATGTGTGCCCAAACACCTCATATACGCGTTCCCAAGCGCGCCAGTTACTTACATTGATTTCAACAACAAGAACAAAGGAAGAACGCGCGCCACTGCCTCCGTCTCTTCATAGCAGCGTTTCCAAGCTGACCCTCAAAAGGTCTAACAAACGCTGCGCTCCTATATCCCCTTTACATTCCCTCTTCCATACCGACATTGCGCCACCACGGTTTATCACCCTCACCAGCACCCTTCTCCGCAAACATGTCCTCTGCATCGCCAACCTGTCGCCTCTCACTAATTTCCCTGCTAACCTGGCCACTCAACTTCAACTTCATAGCCTTGCTAGCCAGAAAGGGGTTGTATTTGCGCGAACCGTTACCCTGTGCCACTCCTCGGGATGATCGGATGAGTTCGCTCGATGTCCATCCGCCCCTCATGACAGGTAATTGCTATTGCAGAGGTTCTGAGGAAGAAGAGAGGCGGTTGAGATGGAGATAGACATCGGTGCCGTAGCTATGCAAAAGAGTCAGTTTCAAGCCGTTTTTCTGCCAAAAGGAGCCGAGCTATATTAACACATACCCTTCCATCGAGATCAACTTCAAATCTCCGCCAAAGTACCGTGCATACAGTCGAGAAATAGGCAGGCCGTAGCCGAAACCAGCCATTGGTGCTTTGAAATCATTCTTGTTGAAATCTGGGTCCAGGTTGGGCGTTTGGTCCACAGTCGTGTACATGTATGTCCAGACGAGCGGAATCGACGATCTCGGAATACCACCTCCTTCATCTGAAATCTTGATCGTAATATCTTCTTTGCCCTCTGCAACAATGACTTTAGTCACGGGGAATGCCTCCTTTTCTTGCCCATGTCTCTCTACTACAGCACGTAGCGAATTCTTCAGAGTCTCGAAGAGCATGTGCGACAGATGCCCAGGCACGTACATAAAGTTGATCTCGGGGTTGCACACAAGCTGCACCTTTGGAGCGTCAAATAATCCATAATGATCTTCACATACAAAGCGCGCATTTTCAATAGCTTCTTGCGCCAGTTCTTGTACGTTGGTCTTGGTGCATATGATACCAACGTAGTTTGGATCACTCCGCGAGCGTTGGTCAGTGAGGGCAATGTGTTGGCCGATGAGCATCCGAATTCCGATACGCGACATGTAGAAACGGTCTAGGAAAGCCTGTATATTGTGGTCAATGTGCATCCGTTGTCTCTTGCGCTTCCACTCGAGGATGCCCTGCGCGACAGTCGTAACGACACTGTCATGCCGCCGTTTGATCTTCTCCAAAGTCTCGGCAAACTTTGTGTTGTATGCGCTGAGCTCTGGTGGCCAATCCTGGCCGTCGTCTGCAGCGACATAGTATCTCCGGCTTGCACTCTTGACCTCTTTGGCGATTCCGTTGCCGTTGCCATTGTGGTTTCCATTCGACGTTGGTGCGGATCGGTATTGTCCAGTTCTGACGCTTGGGTTTTGTGTAGGTTTACTCATCAAGTTCTTGTCGCCGCTCTTTTTCGCTGGTTTCAGTAATCGTTCTTTGATCTCGCTCGAGAGTTGTGGTCGTGGCAGTTCGACGAGTTCCTAGCGCTGTGTGAGTCAAGCTATTCAGCGAGCCGTTACCGCACATACCTCGAATGACTGCGCATACCAGTCGCGCACTCTGCAAATGGATGGCATTTCGTTGAGGCCATCGGGAAGGTCGTTGAGCTCTTGCACGCGATGTGCTAACCGTATGGGAAGTTCTTCAGAAAGGAACTGTGACGCGCGGAAGAGGGTTCCCGTCGATGGCTTCTCTCCAAACTGCACCATTTGCCGTAGGGACACGCCTGTAGAGGAATTAGAAAGACACATGACACCAGGACTCGAGGATACGAACCGGTCGCTGGAAAGTTGCTATAGTGCTACGCAAGGATTAGCTGTGATGGCGTCGTGGGGTGTGTTGCTTACCTTGATGGTTTCCATCAGCCTCTCGCTCCGCTTCCACGACATGATGGCAGTTGTTCAAGGCCGTAACGGCCTTTGTCGCTGTGTGCTCGCCAAAGTGCTGTGGTCGGTGGTGGTGTCCCCCCGTCCAAGCTGCCGAACGCCCCCACTATGACGCTAATGGACGGCGATGAACCGGCCGAGGTAACGGCGCGTGGAATGCTGTGCTGGGGCGGTTTGCGACAAGTCGTCTGGAGCGAGAGAAGGGAGAGGTGGCACAGGAGCCCATGTGAGTATGTATGTGTATGGCTAAATGATGATATGTACACGGAGCTCCCCGGCAATGCCACGACTGATTGGAGAGCACTTGCGCCTTCCCCCACACTTTTTGACTTGAGCGTGGAGAAGCACGCGCAGCAGCGTCACAGGCAATCCGCGTTCATGAGCCTCTCATCCCACGCCTGACGAGACGGTATTGGTTGACACACGACTATCTGTCTTCTTTTCTTTTCGGGCGTCTGCCGTCGCCAATGCACGGGATGCGGCAATGTCAGTGTATCGCCCTCGACAAGCACACCACAGCTCCAGCCACATGATCCTCGGCTAGTTGTCGGAGGAGGCGCCGGCAGAGCGCATGTTCCTTGCTGCATGTTCCTCAGCTCCGAGGGATGCCCAGACACTCGCGTGAGCCGCACCATATGGAGCTAGGCGAATGTAGTACCATAGGTACACATGATGCGACCGCTCCAAATACGGTCCCTGTTGTCGAAATTCCCGCAACGTGTCACAAAATTTGCCCGGTTCACCATTGGCAGCCAGGGTAGGACCAAAATGTGCGGAGCCTTTGCCATCAGACACCACCCTTTTCACAGGTCAAGAGCAACGCCCCAGGGGACAAGGAGAGCATAAGTGAATAGAGGAGAATTGTTATTTCGAACGTGCCGCCAAGTTCCAAACCAGGTCTATGCTGCACCACATCCGAAAAACGCCCTAAAATCATACACCAAACATAATCTACATGGAACAGTAACGCGCTAAAACCGCGCTCACCGCCTCAGTCGTTCGTCTATCATCGATGTTGATACAATCCAAAGAGATCTTGGGTCGAAGAAGTATTAGAGAAGGGTCGTGGAGTGTCGGAGAGTCGGTAAACGTCAACGTGGTAATGGGACGCTTATTTGGTCTCCTCCTCAAGGAAGGTGATCAGGTCGTTACGGTCCTTGGGCTTCTTGAGACCGCCAAAGGCCATCTTGGTACCGGGAATGTACTTCTTGGGGTTCTCGAGGTACTCGAACTGTGTTGCGTTAGCGTTGATTGTCGGGTGATATTTTTTTTTATCTTGGTGCGGCGTCACGTACGAGAGTGTCGTGGTTCCACTCAATGCCCTTTTGCTTGTTGGCATCGGTGTATGAGTAGCCAGCGACGGAACCAGTCTTGCGGCCGAAGAGACCGTGTAGCTCGGGGCCAATCTTGTTGCCCTCGCCAGCCTTCAGGGTGTGGCACTGAGCGCAGCGGGTCTACAATTTGGTCAGAGAAGGTTCGGCGAACGAGTGATGCGACGATGGGTATATCCGGCGTCGTCTCAGTGTATCCGTACCTTGAAGAGGTTGGCACCCTTCTTAGCATCGCCTGCAAGGATATGTCAGCAGTCTGCATGACGATAAAATTTATTGTACTGCCAAGCGAGCCGTCTTGCCATGTCGCAAACCTGCCATATTTGCACACCGCCTCATGAGGTGCCGAAATCTAGCTGGCTTGTATTCGGAGAACTCGCTGCTTCTCAGGGAGGCCAGTTCTCCATGTGCGCGCAGGCTCAATGGGCGTGGGAAGCAGGAGGCAAGACGAGGCAGGCAAAATGGGAGACAGCCGATGACGTCCGATTGGAGTCAGAAAAACGTACCCTTTTCGTAGCCCATTGTGATAAGATGAGAGGTGTGAGGGTTGATTAGGTGGCAGAGAGGTAGTGTTCAAGCGTGAGAGAAGAGTGAGACTTGTGGAGTGGTGAAAGGAAGCAGCGATGGAAACTGGAATGAGCGACAAAAAAGCTGGCAGAGGCAATGGAAAAAGCCAAACACGTGACTGTCCGCTCGCGTCAGGGCCCGTCATTCCATCGCGGCTAGCGCCTGCATGCGGCGAATCAGAGGCGCAGTAAAAGTCAGGAGCAAAGACGGTCGGGTGGAACCGGTCCGAGGACGCCTGAGCAGGGCAAACAAGTGCAAGAGCCTCTCAGCCAGGGCCGTCTTTGTCTAGCCACTTTCCTGGTACTCGGCAATCCTGCATCGACCCATCAGTCGATGCCATCATGACGTCGCCCGCAAGCAACCCTGGGCAGCTGCCAGTACACATGCCAAGTCCACGCACATGTCCATATCAAGAGTACATGTAGACCAAAAAGCAATCATCCTCCCCTACATACTCTGGTTGTCGGGTTTTCCAGGGTCTGGTCCGTCGGCTTCCATGCAGGACACCGGCTCTACATACCAAATACGATGCCGCGCAAGGGTCCGCAAATCAACGTGACATGTCCATGAACCCACACATCTTCGCGTTACCGTTCAGGTGGATGAGTACCGGCTCTCGTCATCTAGAAAGCAGTACAGTAGTATTACATTCTCCGGCCAGCATCACACTCGACTTGCCTTTCTACTAGCAACCCGCCGTCATCCGTTGTGAGCCAGTTCCTTGGTTGACATCATTGACTTCTGCCCCGCCACACCTCAACCGACGGGATGGATCAGATTCCAAGTATCTTGTATGCTGATGAGAACTTCAAAACATGGCTGATACTCGGCGCTAGCCGAGGCATTGGCCTGGAATTCGTCAAACAGTTGTTAGCGAAGAATGAACGCATCATAGCTACTGTGAGAGAGCCTTGGGCAGGGCATGCCAGTGGCCTATGGGGACAAGCAGGTGGCGATCATGGTCGATGCCAGATGTACACATGCGATGTCTTGTCTGAACAGAGCATCGAAGTACGGACGCTAATTCTACTCCGTTCCTGTTGCGAGGTTAACAGGGGCTGACACTATCAGAAATTCGTTGCGCAACTGGCAGCACAGCCGAACCTGAAGATCGACTATGTAGTACTAAATGCAGGAGTGCTAAGATACCCGAATGTAAGTTCGAAACCATGCACATATGCAAGGGGGCTGCACTAACCGTTACAGAGGGCCACTGAGCTGTACGTTCCTCGTCGCGGTCACGCTTTCCTGGTTGTGGCTAAAGCGTGCATTCACAAAAAATCTAGTATATCCGGGTGACGGTAGTCATGGTCGAGATCATGGACGCTGACTTCAGATAGGTCGTTTGATGAATTCGCTTTCCATCTACACACAAACACTATCGGGCCCATCATCGCAGCACAGAAGCTTCTGCAGACAAAAATCCCCATAGGCACAATTGTCTTCATGTCCAGTGACTCGGGCTCCCATGGCAACTTTCGTGAGATGGAAGATGGGTTTGCTGCATATGCTGCGTCCAAGGCTGCACTAAATATGGCAGCGAGGCACATGGCCGCTGAATTGAAGCGGAAGGACGATGATACAATCATCCTATGCATGCATCCAGGTGAAGTAGCGACCGACATGGCAAACATTCAACTCCCGTGGACAGTAGAGGGCATCATTTCACCGGAAGAATCGGTTGTAAAGATGATTGAAGTGATCACAAGCAAAGGCATACAGCACAGCGGCACCTTCTGGACATGGGAGAACAAGGTCAGTTTACCTTGAGTCTTCTTAAGCTTCTAGTCATGTACTAATACCTACGTTTTGGCAGCCTTATATTTGGTAGCATCGATGGTACTCATTATGTTTCCGTCTTGAATCAGTTGTACACTTTTAGCAGGATTCCATTTGGCTGTACTTATGCCGGCTTATCAGATTGTATATGTATGCTGATTCATAGCTTTTATCCTACTTCACACACAAGTCAATAAAGAAGTGTATAAGAATCCAGAACCAGTCGAATTTATTTAGCATACATGTATCTTGCTTGCCCATAGCCATTTCGAACACCTTTGCTAGGGGGAAAGCGACGTGTTGGTAGATATGACATCCGTAAGCGTTAATTTATCAATCTATAACCCCTTATATAGAGAGATGAATTCATCGTTTCTCTACTGAACCGGGGATATCAATCTGCTCAAATGTCTAGTAGTGGTGGCTTTTGCCTGGGCTACCACATACGGTTCGTGAGTGCTAGCCGTTTTTTTAGAAAGTATGCACGTGCACTCTGAACCAAGAGTACGCGTAACCACCCTCATTCCTTAATGACCCTTTTCGCTTCGAAACTCGACCTGTAGGTGGTAACTATGTTTGAGGGTGCGCATGTGTTATCGCCAACGTTGATTTGTGGCTTGATTAACGTGACGTCTCCACAATGACTTCATCCGGAAGCTACTTTGACGATTCACCGACAATATTGTTATACTGAAGCCATCGACAGCACAGCTGCGGGCCGGAACATCAACTTCCCGAATCGCTATTAGCAACTGGCAATACGCAATGGCTGCCTCTCCCACCATTACAGATCCTCTTGCGGCTCTTCCACCGGAGATTGTCCTCCGCATCCTTGACTTCACGCCTATCTCTACACTGGGCTCTCTCACTTGCGTATCACGTGCTTGGCAGCAATTCATCGACCACACCCACCAGGACGCCATCTACTCCTCTCCATCCAAAACAGTACAACCACCAAAACGTCTGAAATCACAAAGCAGCGCTCGGGATTTTTCTTTCCTTGAAAGCTCCACCAGTTTTTCTAAATTCTTCGACAATGTCACATCTTGGAAAGACTTGTGCAAGCGGCAGACCTTGCTTGGGCGCAATTGGAATGCGCCGCGGCCTGTTACCCGTGAATCCGTCCTACAGGTTGGCAACGATGCCATATGGCGGTTCAAGGTAGACTTCAAACGTCGCTTGTTTATCTCTACTTCGCATGCTGGTGGCTTAAACGTTACGGATATGGACTCGGGCCGCCTCTTGTGGCGGTTGCCCTCCGTGATAGATACAACAGAAGAGCATGCTGTTAGGCCATACGCGCATCTCGAATACCAAGATGGAACAGCAGTGTTTGATCGTGAGGGTGACGCGCTGGAGGTATGGCGGACAGATGAAGAGGGCACCGAAAGAGGTGTGTTCAAGCGTATTGCCGTCCTCGATCATGATTGTCAAACGAGAGGATTTCAGCTTTCGTATTGGACGTTGGTAGTCGTTGCGGTAGAAGGCCAGGGCTTCGTGTATGACATGACGCAAACCCCACCGAAACTCACTACCCATCTTACCATCGAGCAAGATGCAGTAGGCCATCTGGATCAAAACGAGGATATGGTAGTTTACTCAATGGGCACTCGCGGGTATCATGTGTATAATAAAGAGTCGGGAGACTGCTTGGGCCAGCTGCAGCCATTGCATTGCACAGACAAGTACTATTTGCATCCGCTACCACCCGTCAACGATCCCTCTTTCAGAGAATCAATGTATGGATTACGCCATGGCCAGACTAGGCGGATCTTCCCTCCCGCCTCGCCGCGCAGGAATCGCCTTACTCCTATTGAGCTCGGCAAGGGGCCCTTACCGAACGCGCCTGATGACCCAAACCACCCCAGGAATGGCGAGGATGAGTGGGGCGCCGGTATGCTAGACCGTGATAGCAACCTCTTTGTTGGCTTCTCCCGCTTCGGTCGCGTTTTTATATGCTCTGATATTCGTAAGGCACTTGAAAACGGGCCTAAGAGCACAGCCAGCCACAGCCAGATTCTCGAGTGTGATTCTGACGGGTCGGATTTCGATCTCGGCGGATGGTTATCTGTGCGAAACCACCGCATCATGTTTGGAATTCAAAACAGAATATATGTCGTTGCGCTAAACGCAGAAAATCGACTTGACTTTGAAGACGACAAGAACAGGAACCGACCTTCGTACTCACTCCTTACAGGTTCGACACCTCAACTGATGGTTCCAGTCAGTTTCATGGCATTGTATGATGATTCCATCATGACAACGTATGCTGTAAGTTTAATTCCTTTACAAGAGATGACAATTTGCAGTGGATGTCTAAATCGTAGCACAGACTATTGGCCAGCGACAGGAAGAAGATGGGCCCGGTCGCATCTTTCCAACGAAAGCAATCCGCATTCTTAGTTTGGCGCCTTCTCTCGACAACAACGATCACACAACTACAGATTCGGAAGTACAAGCACAGAGACCACGAAATACGCTAATGGAGCTGTGGATGATGTTTAATGATGAGCCGAGTGATGGAGAGGATACTTGGAGGAGTATAGATGGACATGAGTTGGATAATGAGTGGGAGGATGAGGAAGACGAGTGATTAGCTGGCAGCAAAGAGTCTGAGGTATCAAGTTTCATGTATATATAAGGAGTAGAGGCATGAGGGTTGCTCAATTATTTGCCGTTGCGATATTCAAGGTTCTTAGTATGCGGACAAATTCGATTGGACAGCAGTGCAAGCCAGTATCGTTACTCTTAGTCTGGTGCCACTTGAACAGTGGTGCATACCGAGGCAACCTTGGTTGTCGCGGTTTCTCCCAAAACTCGTGGTCTCGATGTCTAAGAAGGCTTTTTAATTAGTTGCCTGAAATCTTCCTCTACGGGATTAAGGGAGTGGCGCGGAACAAGACTCACAACAACAAATTCGCAGAACCCCATGTGACGCTATCGCAAGCTATCTATGTATATAGACAGCTAGTACACCGACAAAAGTTTGGATACATGAGGCAGTGAGGTTTGTTACAACTGTTACAGCTCTGGCACAGCGTAACGCATGATTAAGTCCAATTGGAAGGTTGTAAGTTACACAATTGCCGATTTGCTGTATTACTACTAGCGAGGAACTCTCATCCGATTAAAGGAGACTTGATCTCGATAGGTACTCGTTTACATAGGTATACTTACTTACTGTGCGCTATGTAGGTTGGGCCGGTTTTGATTCGGGTATCTCAGTCAGCCAAGCCATGCATCTTTGCATGTACAGCAATCTATTGGTCTGGTAGACCTGCGTCCTATCTTGGCTCCCTCGGAACCGAAATGGCCGGACAACACTAAACCACCGCCAAATGTAGCCACTTTGACGCGAGGTATCAGCATAATAATAACGTTTAAGTACACATATATAAATGTACAAAACAGCACACCATGCGAGTTCAATGAATACCTAATTTTAAAAAGTCAGACCTTACGTGCAAAGGTGCAGCTGCGTGTCAGGCTGCAAACCTGCGTGTTTAGCTGCAAACCTGCGTGTTTAGCTGCAAACCTGCGTGTTTAGCTACAGCTGCGTGTTAAGTTAATCACGTGGTAGGATGCTAAGAAACTACTTGGTGACTAGCGGGAGTAAGGGCGGTGGCAACACTGTAATGTGTATGTAATAAGATGAAAGATTCAATAAATTAAGTTTTAACCAATAGTAGTCTACAGCGAGAGGATATTTACCCAAAAGCTTTAGTTATTAGAGAGTAATATGAGTCTACTACGGTGATTTTGACCTATTGGACATCATACCCAACAAAACTCCCTATTTTCTCCGCCAAGTGAATGTGGCAAATCTCTCGAGTACACAGCCCACCCATTCAGAACATAATACAATATTACACTCGTCCTCGCCTCCTGAAGTCAACTACTCTACTCACATTCTTACCCACTCTTTCAAATCATGCCTGCACGCGCCTGGCAAGCCCCTCCCACTTCCAATCCCGCTCTTCTTGTAAATAATTCCAGTCAGATACCCGTTGCATCACCTTTACTTGGGTCGCCATGGTCAAGACAGGATGCACTGACCCTTGCTGGCGTATGCATAGCCATCATCGCTACGTTGATCGCACTTGTTGGCGTCATGTTTCCACCACTTAAATTGCGGAAGTGGCTGTGCAGACCGTTTCATTGGATCACACGACGGCTGCGGCCCAGTAAGTCAAGTCACGTGACTAAAACGCGAGCTCATTGGATGCACCAGATGTAGAATCTCTCCTACCCCTGTCGTCATCATCCCGTCAACCAATGGTCATCGAGAACTGGAAAAACACAGATGAGAGAGCGGCCCGCCAACGATTGCAGGATCATTACAATGAGTCGCTGAGGGTGAGACGTGGGGGATTCTGACTGCAAATCAAAAGAACTGGATACAATACAATAAATAAATACGGCTTGGATGACTACCGGGATAGGGTTGGAGGCGAAATCTCGTGCGACGCATATTATGGGCATTTATTGGCGGGCTTTCCTTTTTTCTTGTTTGTATTAGAGAACTCGAAGTCATACCTCTTTTGCATTCGATCCATCGTTCTTATGTCTTTTCCCCAAGTGTCAGCGTCATCACCACACCTACTGCGCACTGAGAAAAATGTGCCGAATAATATATTGAAGCACTGCCGTCTTCGCCAAGTCCTGGCCAATAGAACATCTTTCGTCCCCCATTTTGTAGTAGCCGGTTAATCGATTAAGCTTAGATTGAGGTATGACTGGTATGACGCATTGTAACAACGTATGCTAAACGAACGTTGTTCTCCCATGGCGTGCTGTACAACATGTAACTAGGGGCTGCAGGGCGCCGCACGCACAATATACGGAATCACCGAAGAACACACTGGAACATGGGGTTACATTAATCGATCCTGGGAGCCGAATCTGTAAAGAAGTAAGCTTTACGACAATTCAGATGATTTTGATGTATGATATGCATATCTCGAATACAAGGGTCGCAGCGCCACTTTTTACATATCCTCTAATCCCAGTACCAGTGTTGTAAGATGGTGGCGCATATCGATTGGAGACGCAGCAAATACCAGCGAAACTGTTTCCATAATATCAAAGATACGCAGAGATCTCTTGTCGGCACAAAAGGAGCTGCACTCTCCGGATATGGCGCACTCGTGGTAGAGACAACTAACTCATCTACAACACCGCCTGGAAATTAGAAGAAGGCTTCAGAACAACGGTTTCATTATAACAAGATCCAGGAATGACGATATCGATCGTTACTATATATAGGGCAGGGTGCCTGAATGCCGGGTGCCTGAAGACGGAGTAGACGATGCAACCTCTACCGAACAACACGCCTCGAAGGAGTGACTGCTGGTACCTTCTGAGCTGAATTTTGGGGATACCCGATTGTAAAAATACTTTTGCTGAGAGTATCTTTCAATATATAAGAGAGGGAAAGTCGACACAATGGATGAACGCAAACCACTTTCAAGCGCCTCTATCCAAGCAGCTCTCTATCTACGACTGTATCAACCACCAAACCGTTAAATACTTTCAAGATGCAATTCACTACCACTTCCGCTATTACTCTCCTCGCATTTGCATCCTCGGCAGCTGCATCTCCTCTTGCAGCTCGTCAGGATGCGCTGCAAGATTGGCAGGTAACAGACCTCGCAGTTTCCGTGCCCATGGGTCGCCCAGGAAGCTATCCTTGGGGCACTCTCAAGGCGAATATAACCGACCCGAATGCGATCAACCTTGGTACTTCGAGCGATGGCAGCCAGATGATAGTGCCTGCTGGAAGCAAGGGGGTGGTAAGTTCTACATGCTGATCTCTTCGTTCGATGACATGCTAATAGGAATACTAGAATTGCGAGGCCAAATGGTATATCAATGGCGATTCCCCAATCGGCCGCGCATGGCCTTGCGACGCAACCTCAAATGGCTACTGGTTTATGCACGTGTACGAAGGTACAAATGGCTTCTCATCTAGCAATTTCGACCTCAAGTTTACACGCGTCGCGGAGAAGATTCATCTGGATACTCAGTACAAGGCGACCTTCGAGGCGAAGGGGCATTTCGATAGCCGAGGAGGTCTTGGTGGTGTTTGCAGTGCGGGTGAGTGTAATTGGGGGCTTCTACAGTCGAAGAAACCTTTCAAGATTACACCCTCGAAGGTCTGAGTGGAAGGGAAGGCTGCTCGGCAACGTGGTGAGCTTGATATGGTTGTGCCGAGGTCGGGTCGTGGATGCTTCCGAGTGTCGCTAATGATTGTGTTTGCTAGAGCGTAGAACCATAATGTTTAGTATTAGAAGTAGAGTAACACATGGCAGCGAAACGTATATAGACCTTTTCGAAGATGCGAATTGAGTAAAATATAACTTGTTCCATACCTGCAAAAGTCATTAGCTTATCTTTCATCTTGCCCAGCTATGCATGCAGTCATGATGATGAATTACGTCTCCTCTCCGCGATCAGCATGACCAAGGTGTGGGCAGACATCATGTCGGATCATAAGAATGCCTCAATGCCCCAGAAAGCCAATGCTTGAGTGCCGCGGCGAAACGGCAATTGCTTAGCCATGGTGATGGTGTGGTATCGGGAGCGGCCGGCGAGCGACCGGGAGTGGATTCGTTGTGCGAGCCTCAGCATCACATCCTCCGTCAATTGCCGCCTCAGTCCGTCTGCAACCTGCGCCATCCATGCAACCAGCTGCAAATAAGCAATATGGCGGTATCGCAGCAAAGTTATTGTCTTGAAATGGTTCCAGAATGCGTGCTTTTCCAGGGGTTGTGATGCTGGTGGGACAAATCAATGCCTGTGTGCAGCCCTTATCCCCGCATTTGAGCTCCGGATCTTGGCATCGTCACAAGCTTGAAGCTCCTCTCCGCCGAAGCAACGCCTTTAGCTCACCATTCACATCAAGCCGACTAGTCTGCATCAGTCGGCCGACCAAGCTGATCCTCGGCCCAGGCATTGAAGATGGGTGACGTCTGTATCATAAATAATGTCTACCGGCCGCCTGGCCTTCTCCGCACATTACATACTTGAACCCCATTTCCCTTCCATCTTACCTTGCCGTCCCTTGTAGCTCTACATACATAAAATTTCATACAAGTGCATCTAGCAAATCACAATGGCCAATCCCGAACGCATCCTAAGAGAGGTCAACATCCTCGGCGACCTCAATGATAAGAACCGCCATATCCTCAGCAAGGACGCCTGCGTCTTCCTTGCACTCCTCCACCGCACATTCAATGAACGCAGGAAAGCCCTTCTTCAGCGACGAGTGATTCGACAGGCTGAGCTCGACAAGGGCAACCTTCTCGACTTCCTCCCAGAGACCAAGCACATTCGAGAGAATGATGCTTGGAAGGGCGCACCACCAGCGCCTGGTCTCGTCGACAGGCGCGTCGAGATTACTGGCCCAACTGATCGCAAGATGGTCGTCAACGCCCTGAACTCCGATGTCTGGACCTACATGGCTGACTTTGAGGGTATGCGATCTCTGCTAAACCGGTTGAGAGTTTCATCATTAACCTTTGGCAGATTCATCCGCACCAACATGGGACAACATGATCAACGGTCAATTGAACCTGTACGATGCCATTCGCAGGCAGGTCGACTTCAAGCAAGGCGAGAAGGAATACAAGCTTCGCACAGACCGAACACTACCTACACTCATTGCTCGTGCCCGAGGTTGGCACCTCGAGGAGAAGCACTTCACCGTTGACGGCGAGCCTATTTCCGGTGGTCTTTTCGATTTTGGACTGTACTTCTTCCACAACGCCCATGAGCTTGTTAAGCGCGGAACGGGCCCATACTTCTACCTGCCCAAGATGGAGTCGCACCTTGAGGCTAGGCTCTGGAACGATGTCTTCAACCTGGCCCAGGATTACATTGGTATGAGGCGTGGAACCATCCGTGGAACAGTCTTGATTGAGACCATCACTGCTGCCTTTGAGATGGACGAGGCATGTCGAAAACTTGTCCAGATAGAAGATCTGTATGCTAACCATATTATAGATCATCTACGAGCTTCGCGACCACTCCTCTGGTCTCAACTGCGGCCGTTGGGACTACATCTTCAGCACCATCAAGCGTTTCCGCCAGAACCCCAACTTTGTCCTTCCTGACCGCGACTCCGTCACCATGACATCGCCCTTCATGGACGCCTACGTCAAGCTTCTCATCAAGACATGCCACAGGCGTGGCGTTCACGCAATGGGCGGCATGGCAGCTCAGATCCCTATCAAGAACGACCAACAGGCAAATGATGCTGCCATGGCCAAAGTCCGTGCAGACAAGCTCCGCGAGGTACGCGCTGGTCACGACGGCACATGGGTAGCTCATCCAGCGCTCGCAGCCATTGCGAGCGAAATCTTCAATGAGCACATGCCCACTCCCAACCAGATGCACGTCCGCCGCGAGGATGTCCACATCACTGCCAACGACCTGCTAAACATGAATGTACCTGGCAAGGTCACCGAGGCCGGAATCCGCAAGAACCTCGATATTGGTCTTGCCTACATGGAGGCCTGGATCCGCGGCGTTGGTTGTGTACCAATCAACTACCTCATGGAGGACGCTGCTACCGCCGAAGTCTCAAGGAGTCAGCTTTGGCAATGGACCAAGCACAACGTCCAAACTGCAGAGGGCAAGAAGGTCACAAAGGACTACGCTATCAAGCTGCTGCAGGAGCAAGCAAAGGCACTTAGCGACAAGGCACCAAAGGGAAACAAGTATCACCTTGCTGCCAAGTACTTTGAGAGTCAGGTCACTGGAGAAGACTACGCCGAGTTCTTGACATCGTAAGTCCCATATCTCCCCAAATTCTAAGAATTGTGCACTAATAAGAGCACAGTCTCCTCTACAACGAAATCACAAACGTAGGTCCACCCAAGGGAGCCTCCAAGTTGTAAATTGCGCTGCAAAACCCATTATTTTCCTTGGTGTAATGAGCATACGAAAAGTGCCTCATCTGCTATTTTTTGCTAGTCTGTAACTGTATACCACACATGGCTAATTTTTTCGAGCCAAAAATGAGGAATTTGCGCAAATTGTAAAGCGCTTTGTTATTTTGTACTGCTTGCTTGCCCAGTGTTATACCTTTTTCTTCCCCTTGAAAATAGTATCGCATGTGAATTGATCAAAGGCTGACGTTGCTCTGCATCACTCGTAGACTGGCTCCCCCGTCGCAGCGTCGAAACTGTAACAATACACGTGCAGCCGAGGTATAGCCCGGATTCTTGGAGAGAGAGGGGGGGATGCATGGTCGATCACACAAGAGCGGTTCTGGTAGGCGATCATGGTTCGTCTGACATGTGAAAAAAAATACTTGTGGACTGGAACTCGTTTGATATTTGCGTACATAGCTGTTGCGATGGTTGGTTGAATAATAGTTCCTGTACATATCATTAGTTATTTTGCTATTTCCATGGTACCCTATAATGATCCTTAATCTAGGTTGAGAATGATTATGACGACGGTGTGGGTTGTAGTTACAGAATGGCTTGAGGAAATACAAAAGAGCAGACTAGGCGACATTGTCTAGTGCAAAGGTGACCTATCAGCAATACCATTCTACACATTGGACAGAACATATATGTGGATGGAAGGTTAATAGGAGCGTAGGCCTTGGCATGAACAGAAAAGAAGAAGAATCTGCAGAGTAAAAACTCGCTTCACATGAACATTGAAAACCATGATTCATAGTCTCGTGGTATCTAGAGAAGTGGCGTTATCATGCCGAGTGCATTCAGTGTCCCGCGACTATGCAGACCAGATACATGACTAAACACCCATTTTGACCTGACCGATGCACCGAAGAAGCCCCAAATATCACCTTTACTTCCTGAGGAGACGCTGGTAGAAAGCAAGCTCCTCACCCTCGAGGACGTAACCGTCGCAGCGACCGCTCTGGCCGGGACGGGAAGAGACAGCGGCGTACAGACGACCGGCCTCGAACTGCTTCTCAACAGCATTCTCAATCTTTCCACTGGTCTTGAGGCGCTCGGCCTGCTTCTTGGTAACCGAGTTGGACTTCTTCTTGTCCTCCTCCTTCTCACCGGCCTTAGCCTGCCTCCTGCGGCCGAGCGAGGAGCCGTAGTGGGCCTCGTACCATTGCCTGAAGGGAGCGGCATCGATCTGGACGATAGCGGAGCGGGTCAGGGTGTTGGTACGGACGAGCTCGTTGTTGGAGGGGTGGTAGACGACACCGATAACACGGGTCTTCTTGGCGATGCCCTCAGAGCCCCAGGAGAAGTTGCCGGACTCGAGACGGAGAGCACGGAACTTGCGGTTGCCGCCACGGGTGCGGACAAGATGGATACGCTTAGTGCCAATACGGGTATTGGCAGGCTGGCGACCCTTCTCGAAAGCCCTGAAGCCATGTTAGACATGACTAGAGAAGCGATCGGGTTATGCATACCTCTTCTTGCGGTAGTATGCGCGCTTCGCACCGGACGCGGAACGCTTGTGGCGAGAGTCTCGTGAGATACTGGGAATCGTCAGTGGATAAAGTCAAGCGGCAGGGAAGAAAGAGATAGATACCCCATGATTGCGGTTGTTCAGAAGACTGCTGCCCACAATCAAATTAGCTTTTGTTCTTCCTGTGTGATTTCCGAAACCGCAGCACTGCTTCGCTCCGTCACTAAAGTCCTTTGCATTGTATAGCCCAGAGCAGAAGTATTCATCTTGGAGCGATTGGTGTGTTCGCGTGCGACAATATCTTCCGTTGGCGTAGGCATACAGCTGGGGCACAATGGCGGAGCGGTGTCGATTTCGCAATGCTGAACGGCTTCCATATCTCGAGTACAAGGCGTCCTTTGAGCGTACCTGTGTTTGGTCTTCCGGTGCAATCTGTGTTGTCGTGGGGTTAGTTGGCGCTTGTCAGAAGAAGTCGGGAAATTCAAGGTGATTTTCGAGTTCTGAGCGTTGGTGCCAAGGCCACGCTAAACAATAAGCGAGCAGGTGCGCTTCTGCGCGTCTTGCCCCCACCATTCACTGCTCTATCCTATCCAGCAACCGTTTCCACATTTTCGCATTTCTGTATCGACGAATTCCTGAATACAGAGCAATATTCCACCCCAGTATACCGGGAATTGGGGCAAATGATGGATGCACATCCAGGTAGTCGATGTAGCTTGTGACTACACGTGCTCACTGAGATTGCTCTAACTGTTCATGTCAACATCATCGGGGTTGGACTTCGTGGGCTCGGTATTGCCGGTTCATCAACTAAGCTCATACCACAATACATATTGCGGAACTCACCAAAGCATGGAAATCAACAAAAATGCTCTGTGCATGGCACATGGCTTTCATGTCAAGCCCTCCGCGTACCCTCCTCATACCTGGTCACGGAGTCCTTGCGAACACATGCACAATAACCATTAGCCCCTCCACTTGAGTCTTCCCATGTAAAAATTGAAGCCAGCTACCATACAGGATTCGGAATTCGCTAAGACGCTTGGGAAAGACCAATTTTTGGTAAACACTCAGCTGACGTATCATACCTTGTTTCCACACCGTTTAAACCCATCTCCAGGTTTGGGTGCTTCCTATCGACACATAGAGGGTCCCCGACTTGAAGAATCTAATCAATGGCAATTCAAGTTGATGTTCTGCACGACTCTGCCTAGGTTTACCTGAGCCAGCGGCAGCTTTCCCGGTTTTCTCAGAAGGCGGAGATTTCCAGATTTTCATATTAGTGACTTTGATTGTAACAATAGGCTACCACATTGGAGACCTTGAGTATTTACGTGATTTTGGGAGAAGCGTAAAAATGTGTAATATTTTCCTTCTCCTTTCCTGTCACCTGCGCTATGCATTTTTGTGCCCTTTTTTCGAACAACTATGTTTTTCCACTCGCTGTGATACTGGCGGGCGGACTAAAGTCACTTGTTTCTATCCCATTGTGTGTTTATGCATAACGTGGGGAAGAGTTGCTCAAGCGGGTAGCTATAGGGCCTCGTAGTCGTTGGTTCACTAAGGTTGGTTGGGCTTACCCAATCTAAAGCACAAATCGGTTAGAGGCCAGTGATGGCAGCAGAAAGCCTTGATATGGTGGTGTCGGTGTCAATTGAGATATCGCATTCAGCGCCGTTAATCACCAGCTAAATGTAGACGTTATCTTCTGCTAAGTTGAAGTTTTTCTAGATCTGTCAGTACCATTTCTTTATCAAACCCGATGTATCCATCATCGACTCATACCATTCTATCCTCTCCTCAAGTTTATGTCCCTTTAGTATCCGTATTACCGAATTCAATCCCTACCATACCAGTGCAGATCTCACATCTGGTAATCATCTCCACCAGCACAGCGCCCGTAGATGTACAAGCACTTTGATTACATCCTAGGGCAATACCATAAGAAGTGTACCCATACAATCGACAAACCAAAATCTTCGACCAGTAGCATTAGTCGCATTGCAGATAGGCGATCCTAATGGCCACCATGAGAGTGCTGAACCCAATTTTAGTGGTACCAGATAATGGAGAGGATATTCTCCAGTGATCGAGATCACAGCTACAAGCTAGTTAGATATACCAGTTGAGGATCAGCATGGCTCTACAGAGCGGCTGGACCCTGCTCCACTGATCACCCAAGCACCTCCACTCGCTACGGTTTCTGCTGGCTCAGCGATTGTCGTTGTTCAGCAAGAACTAGATAGCGATAACTTTGTGATAGAAGGCACACATACTGTCGTTCCCGGAAAGCCTATTACTGTGGGTAATACGCCTATTGAGATCCGAACTTCAAATAGCTAGACGGAAGTGATTGTCGGCACAACTGTGATATTTCTACAGCCAAATTACCCTCAAGCAACATACGGACCTCCGCTAGTACCACCACCACCAATACTTACTGCAGGCACCACAACGGTAATGCCAGGTTTACAATGAGAATATGTGCTTGAAGGGCAAACGCTTGTTCTGATGGAGAGCCACTCACAATCTCAGAAATGACGCTCTCTCTTTCGCCTTCAGTAACCGCGCTTGTCATTAACAGAAAGACATCCAGCGTCGTTCCTGTAACCGGCAGCATTTATACCGCTGTGGTACCAGCTGCCTTGACCTTCAGAGAACAATCGTATACAGTTCATCGTGCAGGCCACATCATAATGGGTCAAGAGGCCACTCTTACCCCCGGCGGCAATCCAGTAACTATTGACGGGACGACGCTTAGCCTCGAGCCCAGTGGGTCAGCGGTTGCGGTGTAGGAGCCTGTAACAACAACTGTCACATTGACAAGGGATCCGAGTTCGCTCGAGACGCGGTCTGGCGGTGAGTGTGGGAGGGAATCCACCGCGCACTCGACCGGGGAAGTGTATTCCGATCCCACTGTGAAAGCGACTAGTGCTGGAGCGATACGGCATCATAGTACTCCATCCGATGGCTGGCGGGAGTGTGGTTCTACTGGTTTTGTGGGGTATGGAATCTTCTGCTTTGCACCTATGAAGAGATGTACTGGAGCACATGGCATCGTGGGAACTTGCTTGCTGGAAAGTTACTGTGCGTCAAATGGCGTTGGATCAACAGCATAAAATATGGAAAACACAATTTCTTGGTATGTCGCATCGCAATCGCTTGTGCAGAGACCGATGTGTTGACAGGAAAAATAAGGAACCCCTTGAAAATTTGCAATTACTCTTGCGAAGTTGAAGCAGTGGTCGAAAATGTCTCATGATCGTCGTGTGCCAGCCAACCGTGCACAAAATCATGAGACAACACAATAATAGACGTGACGAAGATGCTGGAACACGGTACTCTAGAGGACTCAACAAATGTTTTTCACGGCCACATCACAACTACATGGTACCACATATTCGTCATTCAACCGGTGACAGGAACAAGTCAGCCATGGTCAAAAATTTGCATCACCAAACCTCCAAGGGCATTCGTCTAGCAGTTAAGGGACATGAACAAAAATAAATGCGCAGCTTTACGTACAAACATCCACTCGAAATGCCATGGGCGGCTTCTAGACTACTTAATACCGGTGCAAACTTGACATCCGACGGGCAACTCGACGACGGAAAAGCGCACGTGTTGGGTCAGGGCGACGGTGGTGCGACGGCCAATAACAGAGTTTTCCCCCGCCATGCCTCCAAAGGCAGTCTTCTAACAGCTAACGGCTATGAGGTGAAAAACTCGTGATCGCAGCGTCCCCCTGCGCATGCGCTCTGACATAATTAGCCGCCTGCGGGAAACGATCCGGCGGGCCCTCCGGAAAAGTGCAGTAGGGCGTGGATCATCTTGTTGTCATGAATGGGTGGGTCACGTACACCCACACGCCCTGCGAAGGACCTTGCTGACTGAATTATGTGGGTTTGTCAGCCCCTACAGCCAATAGGCATGCTGCCTTGCTCGCGGCACTTCTCCATATTCTTGTAAACGTTTGGAAGGGCGCGTGCAAGGCATGCTGAGAAATTTCTTTGCAAAGAAAACGTCGGTGTCCAGGGGGGTGTCACGATGCTTGGCGGGTGTCATGGCGAAGATTCTGGGGGAGTGTCTGGGGAGTATAAAGGGGAGGGTGGGTACGGCAGGATGAAGGGCATCAACTCAGCAAAGCATACCAGAGCATCAAGCACAAGCTTCTACTATTACTACCTACCACTACTCACATCAACTTCGAATATATCGAACCAACAACAACAATCACAATGCCCAACTTCCTCAACACCATTGCCAGCCGCGCAAAGGCTCACCACGAGAGCGTTAATGCCGCATACAACACCTACTACACCGGCTCATCACCTGCTTCTCGAACAGCTTCACCTGAGGCTTCCCGCAGCTCTTCTGTTGCCGGCCCGTCCGCGCCCAAGAACCCTACCAACGCCTCCAAGGCCTGGAAGGCTATCAAGAAGCACCACCGTGAGATGAACGAGGCCTTCGCTGTCTACTACAGCCCCGGAAACTCTCCCTCCGCCTCCAGGAACGCATCCGCCGTCTCCAGCCCAAGGCACAGTGCCGACGCACCCAGGAACTCCAGCGTCAGCGAGGTCAAGGAGGCTGGACCCAGGAACTACCAGAAGGCGTGGAAGGCTATCAAGACCAGGGCTATCGAGCACCACAGGAGCGTTAACGCTGCCTACAATCAGACCTATGGAATGCACATCCACCAATAGATGGTGTGCAAATAGGAGTTCTTGAAGAGGATTGGAGGCGGAAGTAATAATTGGCAGACGAAAGGGAAACGGAAAACAAAAGTGCTTTTTTGGGACAGCAATATACCACTGTGGGATTCGGTAGCTTGGGAGTTTTTTTAATGTTGGAAGGATCAGATCAAATAGATCTGAGTAATACACGAAGGATTTAATACCAATCGATTTTGCAAGGAATGAATTACTGAAACTTGGTGATGTTTGAGTGATGACAATATGACTGCAAGACTTTCAAGAGACTTGACATTTGAACAGAAAAATGGAAATATGAACAAATTACTGAAAAATTGTGAGTTTCTTCATGAGTGTGTGACGTGAACAAAGGTCTATGTCGATTTTGCTTTGTTGATTGAAGAGAGTGCGTTAGCGTTGACAGCTCTGGGTGTCATATATGCCTCAGATTGCAAGCGTCTAGATGAGTCGTTTACAAAGGCCGTACCCGACTGCAGTATCGGTATGATTCGAGACTTTCGGTGAAAACATGATGACAACTAGCGAATGGTGTGAGATGAGAGTGTTTTGTGGTTGGTGCTCAAGTATAAAAGTACGACGGGCGCGCATTTCCGAGACCTCGGAATCGAGGGGCGTTTCGACCAATCAACGACTCGTGCTTTCTAATTGTGCCCCGTGTCGGGATTTGCAGTGGATGACATAGCCTTGAACGAATTTGGTTAACATTCAACTGCCAGTACCTTTACCTTTCAACTCACACGACAGGCGCACCCCATCTCCCTACGTCGCAGCGCATTTCTATAGCCGGCCCTACGATCATGTCACTACCTCGTACCACTGGAGCGCTTGTGCGCTCAAGTACATCCTTCCTACGATTTGCCGCACCCCCGTTTGCTCCCCGCAGATGCCCGCAATGCTCCCGGTCCTTCGCCTCATCGCTCCCCAGGCGCCAGTCAGCCAAGCGCCAGATGCAGACGGCGACCGTGTACCAACCTTCGTCATTATATCCAGAGCCGCCACCACGCAATGTTGGCGTACCCGACACTTCAATCGCTGGTGGAGCTACCGAGGCAAAGAACACAACATTACCACAAACACCTCCGCACAACCGCAACGCAGCCTCCCAGGCCGAACAAACCACTGTCAGCATACCCGAAGGCGAAGCACAAAAGCCTCAGCAGGTCGCAAATCCTAGCAAACCACTTCGGCCGCGCCGATACAACTTTGGACCTCGAAAGGCGACAATCAAGCTCTCGCCTTCCGCTGTGGCACACTTGCGCGAACTCCTCGAATTACCAGAGCCCAAGCTCATCCGAATAAGCACAAAGGCAAAAGGCTGTTCGGGCCTGGCATATCACCTGGAATATGTGGACAAGCCAAGCCCGCTGGACGAACAGGTTGAGCAAGATGGTGTCAAGGTGTTGATCGACAACAAGGCACTATTGAATATCATTGGTAGTGAGATGGACTGGTTGGAGGACAAGCTCAACGAGCGATTCATCTTCAAAAATCCAAACATCAGTAAGTCTGGTTTTGGCCACACCAGGAACAAGCGCTGACAAACCAACAGCTGAGCAGTGCGGATGCGGAGAATCATTTAGTGTATCATGATACCCTTACGAGTCGTTTGACATACTATAGAAGCATTACGGGCGTTGCATATCTGGCGTTATATACAGTTTACAATTCGACGCGTTATTTCTACGCTATATATACGAGGCCATTACAATTGCTCCGCTGAATCTTACAACGCTGTTTACAACTTTCCAGGCTCGTAATCAAAAACCTTCACACCGTTCGCCACTTCGCCGGCAAGTTTTACAAAGTCTTGATGTGCTGGATCCTTGTAGACATAATAGTCACGATCTTCCTCGCTCTCGAATTCTACAACAAATCCGTGTGTGAAGTTACCCTTGTGAGCGTAAGCAACTAAATTCAAAGTTGAGGCTGGCCTTGAGGTTGGACATACAGAGTGGCCTTCAGGGCTATTGTTCTTTCCCCCAGAAAATGATTTAATGTATGGCTTTTGGGAGGTTGGATGGATGCATTTGTCCTTGAGTGCAAGCATCTGTTTGCATGCCTATTGGCCGTTAGATTTGTAAGAACCAGTGTACATGCTGATGTTTAGTACCTCTGAAATCTGGTCTGAGGAAGCAGTGGGTTTCCACTCAAAGAGAACAACATGAATTATCGCCATTTTGAATTGTCAGCGTTCAAAGGTACCTGAGTGTGAGTCGAGATGCATCAATCGCGGCATGATATCACAACTGAGAGGGGCACAGTCTCCCAGGCGGATGGGGCCTCGGAGGTAAATGACCTCAACGTTGCTAAGCTCCGGGCTGCCGCGTCTTGAGCCACCAACTGCGCAACCGCCGCAGATCTCGCAGCCTCATCACCAGAAATGCAAAGCATACGATAGCAGCGCAAACGATGTCACGACCGCCATGAACTCTTGTAGACTTGATGCACATGAACCATCGCTTTTCTCTCACCTCATCTCCGAACCCAAGCGCAACCTCGCACCATCATGGCAGCCAACGCGCCTGTCCTTCCTGAACAGCTCATATACTTGATAATACGCTTTACAGCCTCCGTCCCCGACCTGCCCCTCTCCATCCACACGCCCCGTGTCATTGCGACCCTCTCGCTGAAGCAGATCATCCGTCAACACCTCCCACCCGAACATGCCTCGTCGCGATTACGCCTAATCTATGCGGGCAAAGTCCTCGCAGACAATGATCCGCTATCTCGATCGTTACGGCTTCCGCCTCCACCCCCACCCCGCAGCAGCAGTAGCAGTACCGGAGAGGGAAGCAAGAGCAAAGGCAAACAGCCGCTGAGAGAAACGCCCGCCGTACAATACGGCACAACGGAAATACCCTCTGAAGCCAAAAAGTACTACATCCACTGTTCCCTCGGCGACGCCCTCTCCTCCTCCGAGCTCGCCAGCGAAGCCACCCTCGCCCACAATATAGAAATCAGTCTGAAATCACAGTATGACGCTTCGTCATCTGAGTTCCGCTGCAAAAGCAGCGGGGCAGACTACAATGCGCGCAGACGCGGGTCTACTGCAACGATGGGTACGGCTGGTGGAGCGGACGGCGCTGTGCCTCAAGCTCAGGGTTTTGATCGCCTGTTGAGTTCGGGCTTTACGCCTGCGGAGGTAGCGAGTTTGCGCTCGCATTTTACGACGAACCTTTCGTTTACGCATACGCCTGATACGATGCCTACACCCGCTCAGATCCGGGTGCTGGAGGATCGCTGGCTTGATTCGTCGGCTAATGATCCTTCGGCTTCGCTGACGGCGCCTGGTGCTACGGGCGGTGAGACGGGATGGGGCGCGGGGTTTGCGGTCGAGGAGGGTGGGTTGGATGATATGTTGTATGGGTATTTAACAGGCTTCTTCTTTCCACTCGGCAGCTTGGTGTGGGGTTTTCGTGAGGAGGGTGTGTGGACGAGACGGAGACAGGTTGCTGTCGTTATGGGCGTGTTGATAAACGCCGTTTTTGGCTTCATGAGATGGGGTGCATGAGGTTGGTCACTTGGTAATAGACATGGACAGAAATAGGAATTTACTGGGTAGGGTTTCCATATATTGTTACTACCTGGATATCATTGCTTCTCACCGTCGTTCACATATCGTCATCAAATGCTCCGGCGAAAACGCCTCAGTTTGGCCAATTCTCATGCCACACCCCTACTCAACTCTTGCTGCTGTCCTTATAATTGTGCCTCAAGCACTCACATTATCTACAGCTCAATAGTCTCCTTTGCAGGAGCACCCATGTAGCTCAGCGGTCCCCTCTTCACCATCAAAGTCATGACTTCGTACAGGGTATCCTACATCAAGCAAGTCAGTCATAGGCTCCCATACATTTCACACACTCCACTTACCGCAGCAGCCATAGTAGTCAACTCAGCATTAGTATCGTACGCCGGCGCAACCTCGACAATATCCGCGCCAATGAGGTTGATACCCTCCAAACCGCGAATAATCGTGCGCAGCTCACGCGTAGTCCAGCCACCCGTCTCGGGGGTACCAGTCGCAGGAGCAACTACTTGTTGTTAGCCTTTTACTCCAACCCCTAACCCACACCACCAAAGAGAAGGAGAGAAAAAAGGAGGAATACGTACAAGCAGGATCCAAGGTATCAATGTCAATGCTCAGATACACGGGCTTCTCCAACCCAACCCTATCCTTAATCTTCTTGACAATGCCATCAATGCCAATCTTGTCAATCTCGCGCGCCTCGACAATCTCAAAGCCGCAGTATCCGTCGTTTTCATAGTCGGAGGGGCCGGACAGTGTGGTGCGGATGCCGGCGTGGATGTTGGAGTCGTTGGCGAGCAGGCCTTCTTGGGCGGCGTGGAAGAAGTAGGTGCCGTGGTTTATGCTGGCTTGTTCGCTGGGGGAGCCACCGAAGACTTTGGGGCGCCAGGTGTCGCTGGGTTGAGTTTGTTAGTAGGTTTGTGGGATGGGATTGGAAGGGGGGAAAACGTACAGATGGCTGTCAAAGTGGATGACGGTTATGGGGCCGTATTCGCGGTGAACGGAGCGGAGCAGAGGGAGAGTGATGGTGTGGTCGCCTCCCAAGGTGATCATACGAGGAAGTGTTTTGCCGTGCTTTGAGGGACCGGGCTTGTTGGCGTGGGTGTAGGGTGCCCGGCTCAATAGGAGGTTGTGGCCTTGCTCGATTTGCTGGAGAGCATAGGCATTGTCGTATCTAGATATTGACCAGTTAGTGTTCCGTAGCCCCTATAATATCCTTATAACGGGGGGCATGAACAAGAGAGTCGTTCTTACGATGTAACGGGAATATCGCCGCAGTCGATGATCTTAGCCCAGGAGTTGAATGGGTTCGCCTCGAGTGGCACATTGTAGCCGCCACTAAATCCAAGTTTGCGTGAGCCTTTGTAGGAGAAGACAAAAGTAAGCTTGTGGTTGCTCAGAGGAGAACGTACTAGAGATTGAGACGGCGAGAACCTTGCCTGATGCCACTGGGGCCGAAGCGAGCTCCTGGGCGGTATGATGTGCCAGTGTCGAACGGGGCGCCTGTATGCTATGATTAGACAATCGTTTCTCTCTTTGCGTAAATACTATCATACCAATAAATGCAATGTCATATTGCACGTTGCTCGAGAGACACGGGTGGTACTTGAGACGACCGAATGTGGAAATGCCGGAGAAGACGGAGTCGGCCTATATCAACATTAATTTCCGCAGCAACACCATTCACAGGAATTGAGTTTCTCACTTGTGTTCCGCCATCACCAGGAAGAGTGTTGTACCAAAGACTCTCATGTGGACCAGCCAATGGCTCTTGGTCGTGGTCGCCATGCGCTGCTACTGCAGCTACAAAGCCCAGGAGCGTAGGAGTGAACCTCATCTTGCAAAAGTTCTATCTAACAATGGGAGGGAAAAACACAAGATTATTGATGAAGGAATCGGGCTTCCGGGAGAGCGAGACTGCAGTAAATAGCCGCCATGAATCTCGTATCCATCACTATCAGTTACATTCTGACGAAGCCGTGTTAGGTAAACTGACGTTACATGAGTAGGTGCTTCATATATCCCTGTCCATGCCGGCGATTTCGTCTGCAAGTATAGCACCTTACTGCCTTCAACAGGTTAGCATATCTTGGTGGCATAGGATCGGTGCTATCCGTCGATGTAACGAAGCGGTTGAAGTCACCCTTTGCCCATACCTGAAGACCACAATGCCCTAGGCGCTAGTGGTTTTGATGGAAAGCTATGTGAGGCTCCTTTCACCTTTTTAAAGCATTCAGAGAACACCCTGATGGCTATACAGCGCCCTATCCATTATCTCTGCATCACTTGAGGCTACGGGGCTATCTCGCATCCAACGTTGTTGATCAATGTGGAGACCACCCCCGCCATGTGCGATGACGGATGCCATGGTCAAGATACCGGAAATCGAGCCAGTAACATTGGCCCTGAAAAACTCCGTAACGGCTATACTCTATGGTAGAAATCCGTTTGCACCAGTCTTATCTGCAGCGGGACAGAATCCAGTGGTGCTGCACACTTATGCATGCGAAGCAACTCCGGTGAGGTCATTACTTGTTTGATGAGCTGCATATTCGACGTAAATCTCTTGCGTATTTTCTCCTTGTTACGCGGATTGGCTCGATAAGAAACGAAAGACCCGAGACGGTCCTACATTTCATGGTATTCATCATCTCCGTGGTCAATTGGGCGCCTAATGAGTGAAGCGGGGTTGCTTGTGTTCCCTGAATTGCTTACTTGCGCCTACATGTACAACGCATAGTTGTAAACTACCGAGAGGCAGTGCAAGGTGGGGGTTAATGCAGCAGAAAGTGCGGAGGTAATGAGGAGTGAGGTTGAATCGTGGAGACAAGGGTCCAGATACCAATCGCACTAACGTCACTCGCTTAATGCTTTTGGTAATTTTTCGTCAACTCTTGCATTGGCGTCTCCGGATTGCCTATCAAGCTCCATACATCGAATGTCTAAGAAGCGTTGCTAATACTCTTCCATCACCATGGCTGTTGCCAGCAGGTTTGATCCCGCAAAGTAGCTATCTATGCACTGGCGTTGCCCCTTCGGAAGGAACACCCAGCTCGGCCCTGTCATCCGCATCCATCCTTTCAAAAGCCTTCTTGACCTGGTAATCCCAGTTGCTCCAAGCAACAATCGCCCACTCAGCAAATCCGACAAGGTACAGGGCAATGCATTGCCCGACCCATAAGCCCGCGAGACCCCAGCCGTGGAACGCAAGCCAGATGCCCAGTGGCAAAGCACCGCAATAGTAGCTGACAATGTTCACGGTAGCTCCAATGTGCTGCCGGCCCATACCTCGAAGTGCCCCACCGCAGCTTCCATTCAATCCGTCCGCGATCTGGAACAATGCAACGTACGGCATTACCTTGGCGGTGAGCTTGACCACATCTTGATCATCGTTGAAGATCTTAGCGTAAAAGTCCTTGACGCCCATGAGCACGGCCAATACAAGCGCACCAAGTACCATGCTCAGAACTGCGGCAGTGTTTGCAGCCCTGGCGGCACCTTTCGCGTTACGTGCCCCAAGGAGATTGCCAACCCGTGACGAGGTAGCAACACCTACCCCAAAGGGAATGGTGTTCATGACTTGGTCCGTAGTCATGATAACGCTTTGTGCAGCGAGCGGAATGGTACCCAGCTTACCTGCAACGAGTGCGACGATCTCGAACGCCCACCATTCCGTGCCGACATGTATGACTCCAAGGAAGGCCAGGCGTGCGAAGACCCATAGGTTCTGAAGGCATTTTCGGTCCCACCCACCCCAGCATTGCCATCCGTCTATGAAGCGTGCATAGGCAAGCAGCAGGAAGAAGGATGCCCAGTATGCAATGCCAGTCGCAAGTGGCGCGCCAAGTAACCCCATCTTGAAAGTGTACACGAACAAGTAGTTGAGGCCGGCACTGAGAGGTGACGTTATGAGAAGGACGTATGTTCCGGGCCTCATGATTTCTGCCCATGTGAGTACGATGCGTCGTTGTGGTTTATATCTGTCGATGACCTACCTTGAGCCTGCATGTACTTCTTCAAAGCCTCAAAATAGATATACCCAATACCACCAGGCGCTAGTACAGAGAGAAACTTTGCCGAGTCGCGCGCTATATAATCTTCCTGGCCGAGTGCTTTAAAGAGTGGTTCAGAGCAGAACCACACTATAGCAATTGGTATGTAGAATAGCAATAGCACCAAGAAGGAGCGCTGGAGAATGATTCCAAGATCATGGCGATTCTTACTTCCCGTGAAGCTGGCGGAGGCCAACGTATCGATTGCTGTTGTTCCACCAAGAGCAACAAGCCAACCAGTAGCCATTGCGAACATGTATGAGAATGCAGCTGTGGCCAATGCTTCTGGTGATAAGCGTCCGACGATAAGAACAGAGACTGTCTGCAACGAATTTTGCAATGCGTATGCTACGACCACGGGTAATGATCCTTTGAGCAGTATCCAGAATTCCTGGAGAACAAGTCGAAAAGATGTCGCGGTTTCATCGTCGAGCTCAGTAGTTTCGCCAGTAGACCACTCCTCATGCTGCGAGTTGGGCAGAAGCGATGTCCTCTCATCTGGCTGGCCATCCTTCTGATCCGGCGCTCTGAGAAAGCTCGGTATCCATGACCGGGACTTGTTTACTCCGGAGTCCATAATTGGAGAATGAGTTGAATCAAAGAAAAGATACTGTGGTGTCTAGAAGAAGAGATATCCCAAGGCGACCGGCAACAAGTTATGTATGTAGAGGAAAAAATTCCAATATCTTGGCCTAAACACACGGCAAGGCACGAAGAGGCGAAAAAAGGCCAACGTTGCTGCACATAATACCTTTGACCTTACCTATGTGGATTATGCCCCAGATGGAGCGGTATGGGAAGAGCAAAAAAAATCTCTGAAAGTAACCTAGATAGCCACTAAACCGGTGTAGTTGCGCGAATTTTACCTACTACAAAGAGGTAATGCAATGTAGCCTGTCACGAATGAAGCTGCCCGTACATGCAGGCTCTAGTCTGGACTGACGTCGATTACATCGGGCTCATGGGTAAAGCGGATAGTGCACGGCTGTAACCTTATCGCTTTGCATGCTCTCGTATTCTTGACTAAGACCCTTCGGTAAGCTTTGATGTGGGAAAAAATGGCCAGTATGCGGATTCGGACAAGTGTGATGTGTGGAGCTGGGGCGGGCAAAAGCCGTTGGTACCGATGTCTTGTTCGATTTTTGACAATGTCTACATCGACGGGTTTTTGTTCCCGATTATCTATGGCGTGAGCAAGGTGTGAAACGCACGCGATGATAGAGTTACTGGGTTTGACTGGAGCGTGAGGTCGACCAGTGTGGCCTTGAGTATGTACAGGAAGACCCCTGCAGGAAGAGCGTAGCTCGAGGTTTAGCGAGCGTACCGTGCACGTGACGGGCCGTCACGTTTCCCCCCCACACACACACTCAAACTAACGAACTCGATTGACAAACTTGTGTTTCCCTAATTAGGTGCGGTATAAGCATGGTTTCGTAAGTAATCACTCAAATTAGCAAACAGCTAGGATCAAAGGACGGAAACAGGACAGTATCAAGGGTGCACGATGTGCTGACGAAATCAACTCGACCTAGGTATCCTTGCCCATGGGGAGTTAATAAAAGCTGCTGGCATCAATAAGCTTTTTAAACACGCGCATTGCTCAAGGTTTAAACCCTTGTTTGGTCGAATGTCAAGGTGAAACCATGACATACTCCTGTTTGGTCGAAGCACCGACCATATACGTACCGTCAACTTGCGCGCGCGAGAGAATGTGTATACGAAAAGCCAAGACACGTTCAAAATGTCACGATCGGATTGAGAGTCATTGGTAATAGAAATGTGATTCAGCCAGAGCCATGACGATTTGTGATTCGTCAAGGCTGGAACTACGTTAAACATTCATCATTACAGTATACACACAAATGTAGAACCCGGCTGCCTTACCCCTTTTCTGGAATAAGACCCAAGACGCCATAGCGCCAAACACCCACTCAGATAAGAAAAAAAAGAACGCAAACGGGGTATAGAACGTTACAAATGACCGCAAGGAGACGTAGAACTAATGCTTCTCAGCATATGCCGCGGCCACCAGGATGTCAATGCCGCTAGCCAAGGTGCAAGTGTTCCCATCGCTGCTATCTCCCTGCCAGCGACCGGGAATAACGCCACCATTTCCCTTTCGCGCGCTTCGTGCAGCATTAGCGTTGATCATAAAGAATTGCTTGACTTCTTTTCGTGGCTTATACTGATACAGTGTCAACAAGCCTCGTCCGAAAGCGCCTTTGAACTGTGATGCGACTGGGTCCAAAGCTCCGGAAACGGGTTCCGTGAGAATACCGCTGGGGTCGGTAAGGTGTTTTGATACAGCGTTGAAGATGTCGTATGCACGATCGACGAGGCTGGGATCGGACTTTGCGCGCGAAAGTTCAGAAAGACCGGCTAGGATGATGCCCTGGTTGTAGGTGAAGGTTGTTCCGCCGTTGTTCTTGCAGGTAGCCGGGTCGATTCCATCATTGATTAGTCCATCCGAGTTGATGAGGCCGGAATTGCTGAACCACTCCCATTCTCTGTCCGCCCAGTTGAGGTAATCCAGTCTCTCTTGGCCGCTGCAGCGGTTTGCAAGGTGTGCAGCCACGGCGAGGAAGAGTTCGTTTGCGATGGCAGCAATATAATCGCGGTCCTCTGACCACCATATTCCACCACCACAGGGCGTGTTCCAACCGCTGGTCATATCTTGGAAAATAGATTTGGCGCTATTAAGGTACTTCTTGTCTCCAGTAAGGTCGTAAGAGGCGATCCAGGCCATGGCCCACCAGCCCATATCATCATAGAACTTGTTTGTCCATTGCTTCGCACCGTGTTGATCGGGCGATTTTGCGTATGTGTTTGCGACAATGTTTGCTGCGACATCTTTGAAATCTGGATCTTCTATGCCAAACTGAGCTATAGCCTCGAGAATGTTGCCCGACTGCCACCAAAAGTCGTCCCTGAGTTTCATTAGCAATAGAAAAGGATATGAGGTGGGGTATTGCTTACCAGAGACCGGTATTGAAATTGTACCAGGTCTTCTGCAATGTCTGGATGGAAGCAATAGCATCATCTGTGAAGTCGGCGCAAGTAAAACTAAAGAAAGCGACAGGCAACAAGAGTACTTGAAGGTACCTCATGGTAGTGAACGAATGTGGTAATGAGAAAGAACGAATGTAGTATAAATGAATGTGGTGGATTCGGCAATTGAATGTGTAGGGTGCCCTAATTCATAAGTAGTTGACGACGAACGAAGATGAGCCCCTCGGTGTTTGATGTTTCTAAACAGGGCAATGCCAGAAACAGAAGCAACAACAGCCTGTGACTGGTTGGCGAGTATACCAAGTAAACGAATGTGTGAGGTGAGTCCTTGGACGGAAAGCGCAAGCCATGTACATGAGGTATATGTATTTAGGCCATACCCACTTGCAAAGCACCTAGACCACCCATCGTCTTTGTCACTGCATAGACATATCCTTGTGCTCGGCACGGCATGAACTATTGTTAGCAGTTGTGGCACAGCCAACATGGCATGGCGAGTCAATGTATGTGCCTGACGGCGTACGAAGAAGGCCATTGTACAGCGGCAAGTAAGATTAGGGATGTCGGAGCTTGGTCGACATCGACCCTTTTGGTAGGCGATGAAGCGATAGCTGTCTAGGAAAAGTGCTATGTGGGGCCCATCTGAAACACGGGGGATAGCCGCTGAGTGGGATGTTGCGTGGGATAAGTTTTGCTCAAAAATCTGATTGGCTACAAGTTCAAAATTCTACGCGACTAATTAGCATGATAAGGGGCGCCCCGTTGTGGCTCGTGAGGTTGGAAAAGAAGTAAAAGTAGATTTTGTCCGCCTCAGACGCGCGGGAGCATGCAGGGCGGTAACTTGTTACTGACAAGCACTGCAAGACGAGAAGTCGTGCAGTGTGAGGTTTCCGTATGGCGTGCCAGATGCTAACGAGCATGTTCGAGTCGGTTCAATGGAGCGACATGACGGGTGGGTGTTGGTGTTGCTCATCAAAGGGGTGGCAGCTGGAGTGCAACCAAGCCAACTCTTGAGCATGGTGGATGCGGTTACATGTATGCGCCGCTGCAAATAGAGCGATTTTTACTTTGCCATGTGCAGGGAGAAATGAGTAAGGAACGGTTGTGGGATGGACAACAGCGATTTGCAGCCTGACAAGCCGGCTGAAGGCATTCCAAGCCGTGTGCTGGTCGAGACGGGTATCCAGCGTGGCGCGACGACTCCGCCGATTTGCTGCAATACAGGCTATCGGATGAAATAGGGTACCGAGATGAAAAGTGGAATTTTTGCGACACAAGTCAAACTTGATTTCGCAGAGGGGCACGGCGGCGACGGGAGTAGCAATGATTGCCTGAGGCCGATAAAGGTGGGTCGAATACCGATGGGGCTTTGTGTAGGGGGGTGATCGGTGATTGCAGAGGCGGTTTGTTCAAGGAGCATAGTGATGGTACATGTGCATGTGCATGTTCATAGGTGTAGGTAGGTGTACTCTATGCATAGGGACACACTGTTGGCTGTCGAAGTGGACTGCATGTGATGGGATGACGAAGGTCACGTGATGCGCGACCCGTTCGTGACACCGCAGCTACGTCAGCGGGGCCTTTGTTTTACCCCACCATGCAATGCTTTGTGGACCCTTTTCCGCCATGAGCAAAGATTCCCAGTGAATGCATCCTATTAGATTGGGTATAGAGTAGGGGAAGGGCACATGTCCGTCTTGTGACTGAGTGGCCAGAACCGGCATCTTCACAGGCGCGTGGCCGATGACGCGAATGCCATGGACGGGCGCGAGAATACCATCAATCAAGCCAAGCAGACGCGCCGATCTACCAATCGAGGCGGCGTGTGGCGCCTGCAAACTGGTCTACATCCCAGTAGAGCTTGCAGGTATGTTGGCCGTCGGTTGTGGCTCGAGGGAAACAGGAAGGCTCCATCCATCTCACCCACCCTTTTCTCTCCTGCGGTGCCTGCTGCTACTACCGTTCAATTATGAATGACGTACGCATGTCGTAGCCAGCCTCGATGCCTAACATCTATCTATAAAGCACCGTCTTTGCAGCCCTTTGAATCAACTATCACCACACTCAACTCAATTACTACAGCTTCCAAACAAACCTTCCAACAACCCAACCACACACCAACAGCACCATGTCTGACTCCATGCGCAAGGGACTCGGCGAGCAGGCCGGCGAGAAGCGTGAGACGCCTCACTCTGGCTGTGCCTTTAGTCAAGTATACTGACAGCCTTGCAGTCCAGCCCGACTCCACCAAGTCCACCACCGAAAAGGCATCCGAGAACATCAGCGGAGCCGGCGACCGCATCGCTGGTGCCCTTCAGCCTGGTATGCACCTGACGCCCCAAGTACCCTTCATCCAAACATGTCCACTAACCATCACAACAGAGGGCCAGAAGTCTGCTGGACAGAAGCTTGGTGACGCTACCCGCTCCGGCCACGACGACGCCTCCAACAAGAGCTCCGGCATCGTGCAGTCAGCTCAGGACTCTCTGAGCAACGCTGGCCAGGCCATCTCCGACACCCTCTCTGGCGGACAGAAGAAGTAAATTGCTTCTCGTCCACGTCCACGTCCACACTCTTCACGATACGACCCTGGGAATGACGATCGATGATACGTTGCGATAGGTGCAACATGACTGTAGCTTAGTAGCCACACATATTATACCCTAACACCTAATCGAATGAAACATTATCCTAAATAACTCTTCTCTGCTGTGGTGCTTGAATGGTTGCTTGGACGTGATGTGTTTGCTTCCGGTGGCCTAATGAATCGTTTGCTTGTGCATGTTGGCTGTGCATAGTCCTCGCAGACCCTAGAGTACAACACACCTCGCCAAGGGTGATGTGGCTGACCAATAGAATGGTGAATGGTATGATTCAATCTACAAGTCCTCATCTTCAACCTCCTCCATCTGCACGTGCCTGAGTGTGTTCTCTGCCGTGCGGGCCTCGTTTGATATGCCCTGCATTTGTCCTTTGGCTTCAGTGGCCATCATTGTATACTCTGCCTCTTGCACCGCTGCTTCTGCCGCCTTTTCGGCTATCTGTCCAGCACTCATAGACTGTAGCTTCATAAACGCCTCTAGCTCTCCATCCACCTCGGGCGCAATGTTTCCACTAGCCTCGCCTTCTGCTTTGTTCTGCTCCTTCATATACCCCTCGTCCTTTAGCTTATCAAACTCGTCAGGCTCTAGCAACCGGCCCTCGCCCTTTGCTAACTTCAACTTCTGCGCCACAGCCGCAGGCATGAACTTTGTGGCTTCTTTCCGCAAGTCACGCACTTGAGGCGCAGCTTCATACACAATCGTCGGTTTCTTGGGCTCTTGCGGCGCTTCATCGGCCTGCGAAGCGCGCGCTTGGTACTTTCGCGGGATTGGCGGCGGCGTATCGCGAGGCATGGGAATGTGCTTGACATCGTCGTCGGTGTCGCTGCTATCGTCGTCCTTTCGCTGCCCGTTTCGCGTTCGCTTGCCCAGAACACCTCCGCCTCGGCTTTCTCGGTCCCCTCCTCGACTTCGGTCCTCGTTGTCCAATCGTCGCTCTGGCTTGAATACTGGGGCTTTGTCTCCGAGCGCTGCGCGCGCCTTGTTCACTGCCGCAAGGTCCTTTTCTAGTTCCTGTAATCGCTGCTTCTCATGTGGCCGTATCGATCCATTTTGCTCGAGTTCCTTGAGACCGTCGATGTCTCGCTGTATGCGATGTGGATTCCGCCGCGCGAGTTTCTCGTTGCGCTGCGCCTGGAGGTTGGCTTTTTGCTTGCGCAGCTGTTTCTGCTTCTCTGCCTTTTTGGCTTCCTGAACGGGGTTGTAATTCTTTTCTTTTGCCATTGCGACGGATTGAGCGCGGGATTTGGTGGGGATTGAGAAAAGATGCAGTGCGTGTTGATGTTACCCAGGGAAATGGAGAATACGGGGACTGACGTAAGGTCCGTGCTCTTGAGCCGCGGCGCGTCTTGGGTCGCCAGCCAAAGTACCGCGACCGACTTTTGTCGCAATTATGTTTATTTGCCTCTTCGCGACCGTACCGGCGTTTCAATAACATGTTTGTCCCGCGAGCGCTCAGGCTCAAGGGCGTTCGTGAGAAGCCGCGACCAAACACTTCCAATCCGTCCGTGAGCAATGCTGAGACCGACCGCGATGAAGCCCTGGTCAAGGCCATGCAAAATACAAGGACAACCTCGCTCACTCCTCAACCAGAAGAGCAAGTTGATCAGAAAGCTGCCAAATCTGGTCCTAGGTTTACTGTCAAACCAGTCACCCCTGAGTACATTGCTCAACTTGCTGCTGGTATAGAACTCATCTTTACCGACTATGCGCACCAAGAAGAGGAGCGAGCACAGTGGCTTCGGGATCGATATCGGACAGTAGATGGTGAAGAGAAGTGTAGGCGTCATTGAGATATAGGTCTGTGTATAGCTAACCCAATACCCAGACATCCATCTCACAGCCATTCTCGAGCATCCCAACATCTCCTCGTTGAAACCCGAAGCCTCTCAAGTCCTCCTCCAACAAGCGCTCCGAGATCACCCTTCTAAAATACTTGAAGTATCAAACAATGGTTATCATATCCGTCGCAAGCCCTCGTCGTATCCACCCAAATATCTGCCCCATAATTCATTCGAAGTAGTCGACGACGATGGTTTGGCATTCTGGGATCAGCGCACCATCTATGTTGAACCGCACGTACGCAATTTATGTCAAACACCTGCTAAAGTAGCTCAGTGGCTCACAGAGCATGGGCAACTACGGCCAAAGTGGCTGCCTGTACAAGCCGTACATACACTATGGAACAGCTGCGCTTTCGTAGTTCTCAGTGGCAGTGTAATGCATGAAGATGTATGGCAAAAGTGGAGAGAAGCAGACAAGCCCGAGAATTGGAAGATCATGACCAAGGTCGAGCATACAAAACGCACAGCCGAATATATCGCGTTACTTGAGAAGCAGAACCCTAGGGGCATGCGCAGGACGAAAATCGTTGATAGTGAGCTTCCGCCTATTGCGCGGCCAGCAGTACTCCCCCTAGCGGTAAAGACTACCCAGGAGAGCGCTGGCAATGATAGTCAGCAAGGCAAGAAGAAGCGGAAGAGGCGGAAGCCCAACAAATCCGCTCTTAACACAGGAGATGCAGATGCCGACGATACAGGTAATGAGCCAAACAGTAAGCGTAGAGGTTGAATCCATCGCTAAAGCATTATACCGAGCAAATGCGAGCAAGTATTGCGCCTCGGAATGCGCAAGGATCACCATACTTGCCCGAACAGTCTAATCGAGCCATCACAAGCATATGCCGGACAGCCTCGGTTTAGCGGACTCTACATAGCTGTAGTAGCCGTATCCAAATCTACTACCCCGCTTTCTCGGCAGTATTAACACCAAAGGCTTACCCCAAAGCCATCAAGCCGCTAGGGCTAGAGTGAATCGATGTGAAGCATGTGGGAGTAAAGTTGGCAAGTGGAGAGCGATGCTGGCACCACGAACCTAATCTCAGCCCCAAAAAGCAAATACAACTCCCGAAATACCATTATAGTTTTGCACCGTGATGAACACATTTTCTTCTCTTCCAGGGTCTCACGTTCAGACCAGTACCTGCCTCCTCTTTCGTAATACGTGATTGAGCAAAATGACGACAATCGTCGAGAAAACACAGCATGGCGTCATCTATCGTGCTTCGAAAACATATCCGATCCCAGATCTCGATATCCTTACCCTCCTATTTGGTACGTCATCTAACCCCTTCCCCCCCCC